GTCCAGCGTCCGATCATGCGTCCCGACTGCGTCATTCGCGGCCCGCTGCAACTGCCCATGGTGCCGCCGCCGCTGCCCAAAGTCGTCATGTGCCCGAAGCCTTAAAGCACGTAAGCAAAACAATAGGATGGGGATGTCCCTTATTATACATTTGCAATCGAGGAACTGCTGCGCGAGCGGTCCGAGTTGCTTGGGGTCACGTAGTGATCAGGACGAAATCTGCACCAGAAGTGCACGTGCGCATACGTATGTATTCAGCTAGATTGAAACATTGAACTCTGAGAAGCCAAGCTGCCGCAAGTGGGCGCTGTGAGGGCCCATGGCTGGGCATGGACCCGGCCCAGAAATCCGAGGGCGAAGCCGCAGAGGCGGAAGCTCCAACGTCTCTTTTTCCATGCGGCTTAAGGCGTCCATGGCCGGTGAAACAGAAAACCAAACACAATATTGAGCAGGGGATGCTGCATGGGATGCAAACGTTCATGCAGCTGCTTCGATCATGCATGCAAGTTGCTGGACTGTCTGCCTCTCGGCCGGGTGCATGCAGGCAGTCCTTATCCACCGAAGTCGGAGTGAGATGGAGAAGGCCTGTGGCCGACAAAGTACAATTAGCCTGCAAACTATCCGGGCCACAAGCGAACACTTGCCGCGGCCTCTCCGGCGAAGAAACCTGGCGCAGTACTGCGATGGCACAGAACTCCGATGTCGAAGCCAGTGAAAGCTGCGGGAGCAGGCCTATATGGAAGCTGTAGGGATATGTCGAAGGGCACGAGGGCGAGGATGCAACCTGGCAGACACGGTAATCTTGAGATTAGAATTTTACGAGAACTATGATTTAAGCAAGCCTGTGGTGCCTTCGATCCAGTCGAAGTTGCACGGCCCAAGGAGACAGAAATTAGGGTTTCAGGTGTTCGATCTATTTACGTACGTACATATCTAGGCTATCTACATATACTATGTCTATACGTGTGTGTATTCCATATATAGTGCAAGTGCCCACTATATACCCCTTTCCAGCAGTACTTGCCTCAAGGCGGAAGCAAGCGAACATGCTCAAGCTTCCATGTTGCTAAGCAATGCATACAACACGCGCGAGCCCACTCGTTTTTTTCTGATCGCTCGAGGCTTCTGTCTAGTAGCCAGATCGTTTAATGATCTGGCGTAGTGAATCGCGATCAAAAATGGCACCAAAGTCCGTCACATAGACGTCTATACCCATCATGTCCATATGCTTGAGCTGCCGCTTGAAGTGCTCGACCTGCTCCTGGCTGTACGGCCCGAAGCCGCCTTGCCCAGCGTCGCCTCCAGCGTCGGCACCCGAAACGCTGCTGTCATCTGCAGTGGATCCTGCAGCGGCACCCAAAACGGGGCCGGTGGCACTGCTGCCAGTCGAAGTCGAAGCAGCTGGGCCGCTGCTGTCAGTCGAAGCAACTGGGCCGCTGCTGTCAGTCGAAGCAACTGGGCCGCTGCTGTCAGTCCCTGCGGTGCCCGTGGCGCCACTGCTGCCAGTCGAAGCACCTGGGGACTCACGCTTACGGCCGGCACCACCAAAGATGCCATCGCTTTGATTGTTGAGGAAACCTCTCTGCATGATCGAGCGCAGCTAAATGCAGGATTGCTTGGGCCGTGCACCAAAAACTGCAGAAAGCACATCTCACCCTGCCCTGCGAGGATGCACAGGTAAGTCTTCTGAGCCTGCAGCGCTTGACTGGTTTGAGTGCACAGGTGAGCTTGCGAGGATGTGCCAGCGCAAGTCGGCACTGATCCACCAGTGCACACTTTCCAGCGTGTGAATCTCCGAGGGTGTCAGGTATTGGCCCAGAAATTCACAGACCAAGGGCAAAGCGCAAGCCACAATCAACGGAGGATCACGATCAATGGACACTGAGCGGGCGGCCCCCTCTAGCGTGTGAATCTCCGAGGGTGTAAGGTATTGGCCCAGACAATTGCAGACCAAGTGTAAACGACACACAACAATCAACCCAGGCTCACGATCGACTGCAACGGACACGGAGCGGGTGGCCATCAAAGCTGCGTGCTTTGTTTATAATAGATCGAACTATGGCGATGTCAAAGTATTCTGTTTGCACAGCTGTTTCTCGGTGTGGTAATTGCCAACGACCGATTCTGCAGCCATATCTTAAGATGTGTGATTTTGCTATAGTCATGTACACTTAAATCTGAAAGTCATATAGGTCCAAAACATCATGATGAGCCTCTGACTGCGGACAAAACCGACCAGTTTTCCCAATCAACCCAGGCTCACAATCGAGTGCAACGGACACGGGCCGGACCATGCATAAGCGAAGCTGTGTGCTTTTTTATAAAAGCACGATGGTGATGTGAAAGTATGTTGTTTGCACAGCTGTTTCCCGGTGTGGCAATTGCCAACGCCCGATTCTGCAGCCACTCGGTGCTTGGGCTCTCGGTGCTTGGGAGGCTCTCGGTGCTTGGGCTCTCGGTGCTTCGGCTCTCGGTGCTTGGGCTCTCGGTGCTTCGGCTCTCGGTGCTTCGGCTCTCGGTGCTTGGGCTGAGGGGCGGCAAGAGTGTACAGTTATAACACACGTTTCTCGGGGTGGCAAAATGCCATCGCCCTGGTATAATACGCATACGATGTGTCATTTTCGCTCAACATATGTGCACTATCAAAGTCGTATAGGCATAAAATATCGCCTGAGGAGCCTCTGACTGCGGACAAAATCACATAGTTTTCAAAGGACCTATCAATCGAACGTTAAGAAACATCAAATAGCCAGCCCCTTTGGGGAAGAAACGACACATGACAGCAAACACCACGCGACGTTTAAGAAACGACAAAGGGCTGTCCAGGTAGGGTTTTAGGAGTTTAGGGTTTTAGGGTTTAGGAGCCTAGGGTTTTAGGAGTTTAGGGTTTTAGGGTTTAGGAGCTCAGGGTTTTAGGAGTTTAGGGTTTTAGGGTTTTAGGGTTTAGGAGCTTAGGGTTTTAGGAGTTTAGGGTTTTAGGGTTTAGGAGCTTAGGGTTTTAGGAGTTTAGGGTTTTAGGGTTTTGGAGCTTAGGGTTTTAGGAGTTTAGGGTTTTAGGGTTTAGGAGCTTAGGGTTTTAGGAGTTTAGGGTTTTAGGGTTTAGGAGCTTAGGGTGCTAGGAGTTTAGGGTATTAGGGTTTCGGGGTTTAGGGTTTAAGGGTTTTAGGGGTTTAGGGTTTAATGGTTTAGGGTTTTAGAGATCCAGGGTTTTAGGGTTTTAGGGTTTAGGGACTGCAGATTTGCCTGGCCCTTAGTTTCTTTTCTTCAGGGGTCCCCGGCAGTCGCAATAGGCCTGGATGCAAAGGGGGTTTAGGCTTTTAGGGTTTAGGGGTTTGGGGTTTTAGGGTTTAGAGGTTGAGGGTTTTAGGGTTTAAGGGTTTCGGGTCTTAGGGTTTAAGTCGGGCTCAGGGCTTTCATTCCCTGCATCTTGGGCGGCCAAAAAGCTGGTCGCTGAATCGTCGCTGAATCCAGCGGCGTACCAGTTCCACTCCCGGATGTCTTAAAGGAGCCAAGAAAATCCAAAACCCGAGTTTGATATTTCGGACCCTGTTAGGGGTTTTTCAGTACGGCCCCAACAGAAATGCTTGCCTGTCTTCTACAGGTACCTTGGAGGCGGAGCCGTGGCCACGCCCTGTGAACGCGGCAGCCCGGCAAGTTTCACAAGCACTGCTGTAAGGGCGGTACAGATTGCACCGCGCACGACGATTGAGCTTAGAAGACCCTGGCATTTGAGACATCTGGGGCCCTCCCACAATGGGCCCTGGATGTCCAGTGCAGTGATGGGTCGACACCGCAGAGTATGGCTCTGACCCGAGGGCGAAAGAAAGACTTGGGCACACCTGTGTTCAAAGTTTGGGGTCCATGCGGCACAAGGGTTCAACATGAGGATCATCACTCATGCGTGCTGTCCTTTGCTTCTGTATGTCAGCTGGAGTTTGGTGACATGCTCGTTGCACTGACGCGGCACTTTCGGTTTCGGTGCTGCTCCTCAATCATGAAGCTTTCAGACATCAGACGCTTTCAACCATGCTTCAGCTAGCCATTGATGTTGGAGGAGCTAAGGAGCCAGTTATGATGATAATCCCTATTGAATAAGGAGCTAAAGAGCCAAGGGCAAGCAAGCCGGCACTATGTGGAAGCGTCCGCGCCGAAGCCATCTACAACGGCGTGATATCTAGCGACCTTGTGGTTGCGAGTAAGTCCACGGCTGAAACGACTGGAGAGACCACCTAGCGGTTTATGTCACGGTTAAAAGTTCGGGGTGCAGCAAAGTAAGTTGTCGTTATTGTCTGTTTCCCCGAAGCCAATAGGCGTCAGATTGAAGATCTTTCAAGCTTCCGGTTGAGCCCTCCGCCCGCGATCCCTCACCCGATGCTCTCTGCGATTACGGCCTCTCTGCTGCCCGGCCAAGTTGGGCCTCAGGAAGCCCGGACCTCGGCAAAGACATGCAAAGTGCCTCAGGGGCTGACTGCTCCAGCCGGAAGACCGCACCCGTAAGTTGGGTAGACGGACACGTTCACTCTGAGAGATTCGGGGTTGATCGAAAGTACTGGTGGTAGGTGGGCATCTCCATGTAATGTTTACTTGAGTTAGTGTTGTCCCCTGTCTACACGAGAGTTTCACGACAGCATAGTTGTTGCACTTGTACCCTGGTTAGACACATAACGTCTTCGCATGGCTTGGGCGTACACTCACCATGGGTCTACAGGTCACTGTAAGCTCCCTAAACCCTTATCGCCCGATGGATTCCTGAGGAAGGCTTGCCAAGTTCAAACCATCCAAGCCAAAAGCGCTTCCAGGCGAACCTTAAAAGGGTTAAGATGTTGTCGTTTAGGGTTAGTTCGGAAATTAGGCAGGTTGAGGGTTCGAGAAGATGCCTCAAGGTTTAGGCTTGATGTTCGGGATTCAGATCCGCTCAGAAGTTTTGAGTTCAGACCGAGGGTCAGAAGCTGAAGACCTCTGATTGGGCTTTCTTGCCTTCGAGGTGCCCTGAAGTGGCGATGGGTGGCGGAGTCGGGTCCCCAGCAGGACGAAAGCTGCAAACTTGACCGGGGGTGCCGAGCCTTCTCGACGCTCGACGGCAACATTTCTACTTAAGTTCAATCTGGGCTTTGCAGTGCCCCCTAACTGCCAGCAGGTCTCCTACTTCAAGACCCCTTTGAAACCGTATCTTTGAGAACGCCCTACCATGTCTCCGGTTTCTGCTGAAGGAAGGGCTGAAAGAGGCTGCTAGCATATTAGTATACAGAGGCACCAGACCTCTAGACCCTATTTCGGGCTTCAGTTAGCCGACACCCCGGCATGTCTTGAAGCCAGATAGGAGTTTCCGAAAATTAGGGGTACCTTATTTTGGGGTCCTTATAATAAGGATCCTACTATCTAAGGTACTATATTAGGGTTCCCTATTTTCGGAAACTCCCGATCAGAATCCGACAAAGAAGCACTGACAAAGCAACGCAGGCCAGCGCCACTGCTTCGGCCGAGGCGGCCTCAGGGTTCCAGTTTTCGGGAAATTCGAAACCAGTACCTGAGCGTGTGACCGCACGTCCTAAACCCTAAACCTCGGAAATGCGGGGTTAAAAGGTAGAGAGACTATAGTATAACTATAGTACAGTTATGGTATAATTACCGTATAAGTGTGGTAGAATTAATTAACTACTGTATAGTACAGTATAATTACAGTATAAGTGTGGTAGAATTAATCAACTACTGTATAGTACAGTATAATTACAGTATAAGTGTGGTAGAATTAATTAACTACTGTATAGTACAGTATAATTACAGTATAAGTGTGGTAGAATTAATCAACTACTGTATAGTACAGTATAATTACAGTATAAGTGTGGTAGAATTAATTAACTACTGTATAGTACAGTATAATTACAGTATAAGTGTGGTAGAATTAATCAACTACTGTATAGTACAGTATAATTACAGTATAAGTGTGGTAGAATTAATTAACTACTGTATAGTACAGTATAATTACAGAGTATAAGTGTGGTAGAATTAATTAACTACTGTATAGTACAGTATAATTACAGTATAAGTGTGGTAGAATTGTAGTTTCAGGGGAAGGGACTCGAAGTGGAAGCTGCTGCCAGGCTGACCCTACCGTGACCGAGGCCCTGACTCCCTGAAGCTTCGGGGGCTCTTGAGGGGTCGGTTCAGGAGTTTCTTAGGGGTACTTAGAATTTTTTTTTTAATTTTTGGTTAGTATAATCCCTAAAAAACAGCCAGAATTATGATTTTTGTTAGGGTTCTAAGTTCAGTATAGGTTTGAGGATCTAGGGCAGCTCTTTGCAACATAGTGTGTAGGAGATTGAATTCAGACATCGCGATTGGGATTTCTTGGTTTTGAGTAGATCGTAGAGCTTGCATCGGGGATACTTCTGGGGCTCTTTGGACTTCTAGAAACCGCTAACATGTTGCGTGTGAAGGCTCAGCTGGGACTCCATTGTGTGTGAATTTACCTAAGCATATGCCCTGCTGCAGGCTATGGCACACACCTGCTTTATGGAGTCCAGTTTTGGGTGTCTCCCACGCTTTAGGGTTGCGTGTTTTTGGAGTACAGCACTTAGTTGCGTCATGTTGCGTCTGCGGAGATTAGGATAGGGGGGGAAAAGCGGAATGACGTGGTGAGGATAGACCTGGTTGAGAAAAGGATCCCGTTCAATGGGAAATTGCACAACACCTTGCTGCTTGTGACATACAGTGGATCTGACCGATGAGAACAGTCAGCTGTTTCTGGAGCAGGGCTTAGGCTTCAGCAGGGGTTAGGAGCTCAGGGTTTGGAGGCTTTTCGAAGCAGTTGAAGGATCTCGGGGGATCACTCTGAGAATTTTGCGAGCCTTTTTGCCCTTGAGATGGGTAGGAAGAAGCCACATGCTTTTGTACCTTGAAGCTTTAACTTACTAAGTAACAAAAGGTTGCCATAGCCGGAGCATCTCGCATGCCACGATCGTGTCCACATCATGCCGTTCCCACACCCCGTGTCAGCACCAATTGTCGCAGCAGTAGTTGCTAGTAACTGCTAGTCGGATCGGGCGGAGTTTCGGTCTCACGGAGTATACTCGATGGATTTCGACGGCGTAGTACCTTAAGACCAGTTCTGCCTGTTCTTACGAGGCAGTTAGCCGTGGAGAGCTGTCGAAGTATTTCCTTGGCCCGTACTTAGACGGTGTGAGCCTTACAGACGTCTGCATTAGGATATCTTGCTTGGCAAGCGCTGGGGTGAGTCCTACTTCCCCGATATCCATGAGTTGTCAGTTCAGACTGTGAATCCCGCAAGGTGCAGATCCCTTTGTCAGCAAGTACAGGAGTTGTTTACAACGATACAAAACAACACGATGGCTCTTGTAGATGACCATGACAAGCTAAGGCAAAATCTACAAAGGGTCGCAATACTCGGAGGGCACATTGGACGATTTGCTGACCTTCGACTACCCGGCGCAAGATGACGGGGCGGATGAGGAGGAGAATGAGAATGATGACCAAGACGGAACCGAGGATGATGATGGCGAGAGGAACGATGTTGACTACGTCGCCGACGAGGACGAGAAGAGTGATGATGTTGATGGACTTGTGAGCGTGTGGCAGTATGCATTGGACCTGCGCGATGTTCAAGGAGGGTCTTGTGAAAAAGACCTTTGTGTGCTTTATCACTATACCCACGAGCTGGCCTTCCGCAATGTGGCCAACATGGAACAGACCAGCGCCGAGCTTTTCGCGTCACTGGTGGACTCCAGGGCCCACTTCGGGAAAGGCGTTTATTGTACGCAGCATGAACCATCCGCTTTTTGGCGAATATAGTCAGTCCAATCCCGCATGTGAAGTCACAGAGAGTCAGAGAGCACGAGTAAACGTAAACGTTTCCTGCCCCAGCATTCACCGCCTTCCGGCTACCATGCATGTAGTGACGGGTGCTGCAAGGTATGGGGCTCTCGCACGCGGATTTTGCTGAACAACTACAGCAATTTGAGTCCTTTGCGTCCGGGCCCAAGTCGTCAACACGTTTTTGCTGGACTTTCGAGTTTTGGCCACCGCTGTGGCATCTGCGGCTGAGGTGACATAACAGACGCGGAGTCTCAGCGAGTGGAGAAGGAATGGGGCACCGGAAATGCTGAAGGCCATCGAGCAGCCTTCTGTATTCCGATTCTAGTCCCGAGGGAGCTCGCATACAATATCTTTCAACAGCAGACGCGCCATGGCCAACAGTTGAAGTTGTCGCGCTTCTTTCTTTTTCGTGTTTTTTGTTGCCACATACCCATTTGTGGATCGAGTGGAGAATAGAAGCTGTTTCTGCTGCGAGGCCCGACCTCGCGCACAAGAGCGTGCGCGACGCCGACACCGGGGAGGAGCGCCGGATCCGGCTGGGCGAGGATTACAAAGGGCGACCTGTGGACCCCAACCGGGATGTTTGGGTTCTACAGGTGATGAACGAAGCTGGAGAGGTGCAACATGCCGGCGCCGAAGCAGACGGTTTGCTAAGGCTGTTAAGGACTCGCCTGGCAAATCTTCGGGAAGAGCTCGGAGACGATGCAAAGCCTACCATGGACTGCATGTACGATCTTGGGAGTAGGCTACACGGCCGCTCCTACCATGATGAAGCAGAGAAGCTTCACAAGGAGTGCTTGGACCGTCGCCGCGGCCTCAGCGCCAGGCGATGCTCAGTCCCAGCGGAGTCGTCACGTCCCAGGGGTGTTTGCCGATAGAGTCAGTGACAGTGCTACGTACCCGTCGATGCTCCAGGACGTGTTTGTACGCACAGGATACCAAGAATTTAAAGATTTGTTGGGGCCTGCAGGTGCAGGATGATGCATCATGTGAATTTCTATGCCCGGGCTGATAACTAGGACGCTCGCTCAGCAAGTCGACCAAACGCTGGTGGTATCACGGTAAGACCGCGGTGTGTGCTGCATGTGCCGGTTGCAAGAGCCACTTCGATTGCCGGTGGCATCAGCCTTGTTATGCAGAGGTTTGTCAGTTCTCCGTGCGTTTGCTTTGAGAATCTCCCGAGGACGGGCCCGACTGGGCGAAAGCCACACGGATACCCTGGAGTCCATGAACAATCTTGCTTTGCTTCTGGAGGCCTCGGGGAGGAGGAGCCTGTCAGACTTGAAGGCGAAGTTGTGGAGCCGTGGCTGTTCTTTGCTTTTCTTGTGCTTGCTTCTGGTCCACCTTTTAGCCAAGCAACACAACACGGCAGGACGTGGGACGCATTGCGGAGGCCGAGCAGTTGCTCCGCAAAGCACTGGAGGGCAGCCGCCGTCCCAGCTGGCTTTGAAGAATCCGCAGCCGATTCATGATTCAGTCATTTGCAGGACAAGGGCCGGGAGGATCTAGAAAGTAGATCCCCGAGTTTTGGGGCCCCATACTACTAAGGGTATTGTATAGGAACCCCCATTAAGGGATCTACTTTTTGGATAGCTTGATGATCTTGCAGTATGTCAGGATCAAGCGAGGCTCCGGGTGTCGGTGTTGGGTGATTGATGTAGTACGGCAGCGCAGCCAAAGTGGAGCAGTGCAGCCAAATGCGAAATAAATGTCGAAGTCCTGACTCTGTTCAATCGGCTGGCACACTGGCTGCACCTCCATGTAAAGACGTATGGCACCCACAGCTTCATTTGGTGAAGGATCCCAGCTTAAGACCTGAATAGAGCGGGATCGTACATAGCGACCCTTAAGAGTCCTCATGCACACAATCTTGGCCTGGACATCCCGAGGCTGTGCCAAGCTTGGCAAGACACATCCAGCAACGCTGGATGCGATGAACAATTTGGCCGTCTTGCTGCAGGAGATACCTGAGGGCTTCGGGCTTGCGGCTTTGGAGAATCATGGATGTGGTGCGTTCGGGCCCTGTAGCCGCTAATGATAGCCAATTATGCGACCGTAGATACACTTTTTTTGTCTAGTTGTCTTCGTCTTCTTTGCGATGTATTCATTTCGCATATACCTACCTACATATGACACAGTCGACAGGACCAGGAGCGATTTGAGGAGGCCGAATCGCTCCATCGCGAAGCTTTGGAGGGTCGTCGACACCTCAGAGATTTGCGACCGGAAGGCCGTGCATTAGGTATTCTGTGCCGTACATCTGGGCTGCCGGCGACATGCCCTGCATATACTTGAGCTACTGGAGATGCTAGCATCAGGACCAGGTGATTCAAGCATTGTCTTGTGTCCATGCTGGCCTTTTCATGCTGTTGTCTGCAATTCACGAGAGGTGCCGTTTGTGAAGGTTTGACCATGTGGGCTTCCTGCTCGTTGGCCTTGTTTGGCTTCCACGAAGCATGTTTTCGCAAATCTGGAGCCCCTTGGTCATGTGTCGATGCACATGCATCGTTTCAGCAGTTGTGACTCGTGTTGCCGCCGTTGCTGCTGCCTCTGCTGCTGCTGCTGGCGCATTTTTTCAGTGAGACAAAGTTTTGGTATGTCACTCTCCCGCACATGTGCGTGGGTTCTTCAAGGGTCAGCTTTTGACAACGTCGTTGCATGCTTTGCTGTTGGATGTTGTTTGCAGTATGTTCCGCACAAACCGTATGCCGTATGCATGGGTGCTTGCAGACAATATCTCGCCCGCTACTTCCCCAGAAGATGTACAAGCCGTGAGAACTGCGAAGCCCGAACAGCTGAGCTGCTCGTGGCATCCCAAGATGGTGAAAGCCAGCTTTCAAACTCAACCCTCTTCACCAGTACAGGATGCTTTTCTTGAGTTGAACTGAGCCTGGCTGAGCGGATGTGTGTGTCTGACTGTTCTGGAGGCCGGGCCAAGTTGGGCGGGATGTACCCGGATACACTGACGTCGATGAACAATCTGGCAAATTGTTTGCAGGCGCTGATGGGGGCTTTGGGCAAACCTTTGAAGGGAATCCAAAAAATTATAGAATTGTTGACTACAGTTCCTGGTCGGCCTTGACATGGCTTGAGATTGTGGCTTTGGTGCTGGAGGCCGGGTAAGTCCTCGCGCGCGCACCTCCCAAAAGCACCATCGGACAGGCCCAGAAACGGTACGAGGAGGCAGAGTCGCTCCACCGCGAAGAGCTGGAGGGTTGCCGAGGCCTCAGAAGTTGACACGGACGCGTCGAGGCTGCCAGTCCCTTACTGTTTTGCTTCCGTGTTTTTTTGTCGCAGCATTTTGTCATTGAGTCGCAGATCTGTTTTGTTGGGAAGCCGGATGTTGGTTTCTTGTGTCAGCCTGTCCGCGGCTATGGTCGTCAACGCTTCGCTATGGAATGCTCTTGTTTTCACGCATACTAGTCGATGCAGAACAGTAAAAATTGACCGTCAGGACACAGAGGTAGAGGAGAGAGAGAGAGAGAGAGAGAGAGAGAGAGAGAGAGACTGCTCCCCGCCCCATACCCCGAGCAAAGCAAAGAGAGACAGAGAGAGAGAGAGAGAGAGAGAAGGATAGTAGTACGAAATAGTACTACAAAGCTCTCACCCTCCGCCCAGCGGCAGAAGATACTTAGTACTAAGATGGGCTTATACCTTATATGTGACACCTTGCAACCCTGCAGCATTGCTCAGCCCAGCCGATCCTGAATAGGCATGCCCCGGCAATAGCACAAGGACGATCAGCCTTCCAAGCACATCCTAGCTCATCGAAGTGCATCATGCATGTTTTTTTTGGGGATGATGTTTTCGCAACTGTTCTCGAGGCCGAGCCAAGCTGGGCGAGAAGCACCCAGATACGCTGTCATCCATGAACAATGTGGGGATGTTGCTGCAGGCGCTGACGGGAGCAGTGAGCGAGCCGTCGAGTGAAGGGAGCGAAGCGAACTGGTCTTGGCTGGAAAGCAAGCAATCCCTATTCGTATGCCGTATGCACATGTGTCTTCACGATACATAGTGAACTAACAGTTCATAAGAATCTTGATGCCCATGGGTGTGAAGAGACATGCAGACTGGACATCTGCTACTGCTGCTGGTGGTGGTGCTGCTGCTGCTGCTAGCGCCGAGAAGCCTAACTGTCTCCAACTGGAAAGCAGCCGCAAGCTGACGAACCTTGTTGAAATTCATTACTGGTCAGTACTATGTAATTAGCCGACCCCCAAGAGACCCTACCTTTGCAAGACAGCAGGCGCAGGGACGCTGTGAGGAGGCGGAGCAGCTGCTCCGCAAGGCATTGGAGGATCGCCACAGTCTCAGCTGGCTTTGAAGCATCCGCAGTGGATTTGCACAGTTGTGTGGCAGCAGCAAGGCTTAACTGAGAGTATTGGCAGCTATATATTGTGCGCAGCTATTGATGCTGTTCAGCTAGAGTTGGACAGCGCAGGCAGGCGTAAGATCTTTGCCCTCTTTGGCAGTTGGGTTTTGGGCCGGCATCCCGAAAAGCCGTGTGCAGCACATGCTCGGTTCCGTGGCGTATTTCGGGTTTGCAGCATCATGCGGGATCTCAACCTCCGGGAAAGTCAGGGATCACAGGTCAAAATCTGGTTATGCCAGAGTAGACCACAATAAGTAAAACAACCACTCCAGCGTCCCAAGACCAACCCAATGAGCGCAAATTCGCGCTCCATCGTCGCGGAATCACGTTTGGCACCAAGAACATGCCCCACACTGTGGCCGGGGCACCGAGCGTAAGAACAAAGCCGTACGACGACACTGTTCGGCAAGTGTAGCAGAAGTATTTTTGACGACACCCAAAATGGAACTCCTCAGGTTGACACAATCTTTCCTTGATATCCCGAGGCCGTGCCAAACTCGGCCAGACCCATCCAGACACACTGGGTTCGGTGAACAACGTGGCTTCGGTGCTGGAGGCCTGATCAGGCTACTTCAGGGTTTCGTGCTTGCGTCTCTGGGGAATGGTAGATGTCTGGGCTTAGGAGCTGATGCACTACTGTAGGTGCTTTTGGCCCGTTCCTCGCACACGTAGCCCCGTCAGGCCCAGGGACGTCATGAGGAGGCCGAGTCGCTCCACCGCGAAGCACTCGAGTGCCGTCAACACCTCAGTTGCTCGATTTGAACGTGTCGAGGCCGTAATTGCAAAGCGCGACTAGAGTGGGAAGGAACTGATGCATTGCCCGCATCTGCAGTTTAACAGCAGGCTCGGCATGTCCTTTTCTATTCAGTAATCAGTAGTGCGGGCAGTGCATCACTGCGTCGTACTATTATAAGCTTGCACCAAGGACATGTCCCTGATGTATCGCGTTGCGACCGTTCTGTGCCAATGATGTGCCATTACGTCATGTGAGTCTTTTCACGCGAATGTCTGCACTTCATATACCGGTGCGGACTATGAAGGTTCGATTATGCGCCCTTCCTTCTGTTTGGCTGTTTTGGTCGCCGGAGTTGTGACACGCAATGTTAGGCTTTTTGTCATGCCAAATCATGCACTGGCAATTGTCAAAACACGGACTAACATGTTGATGCTCATGTATCTGCTCATGAATTGCTTGAGCAGTTGACTGGGTGATCTTGTTGCTACATCATTCATCGTGGAGCTGCCGTTCTGACATTTGTCGCTTTTTGGTTGTCGAGGTGTCAGCTTTTGACTCCGACCCTGTGTCCTTGTTATGGAATGGGTTTCTGTACTATGTTCCGTTAAGATCTGCTCGCGCGCCTAAACGTCTAGCGCGAGCATTGCACAACGACAGTTCTATGCTGCTTGCGACGTGAAAGCAAGCGTTCAAGCCCAAACCTGTTCACCTGCGCGGCGTCTTGAATCGAGTGTGTCCCTAAACCCTAAACTCCGAACCATATGCCTCGCCTGGATTGTCCGAGTGTGAGCGCCGAAACTCTTAAACCCCAAACTGATCTAAACTGATCTAAACTGTGTCTGTGTCTCTGTGTGTTTGTTGTCGACGGGACTCTTTGCAAGTGCCCACGAGGCCGGGCCAAGTTGGGCGCGATGCACCCGGATACACTGACTTCGATGAACAATCTGGGGAGTTTGCTGCAGGCGCTGACGGGAGCTTGGGGCGAGCCGCCGAGTCAAGGGAATGAAAGGAAAGACTTATATAGTCGACTTTAACCAACTCCCAGCTGATGCGGAGTAGAGCCTGGGTTCCAAAAGTCGACTTTAACCGTGTGGGTTTGCTGGAGGCCCAAGGTACTGAATGGTTTCGGGCCTGCGGCTTTGGGGTATGGTGGATGTGGGCGGGCTGATACGCTACCGTAGTATACTGCGTGACAGGCCCAGAAACGGTACGAGGAGGCAGAGTCGCTCCACCGCGAAGAGCTGGAGGGTTGCCGAGGCCTCAGAGGTTGCTTTGACTTGGAAGTGTCGAAGCTATGATTGAGAGAAACTGCGATTACAATGGGCACGAATTGAGGATTGTCAGGTTTAGGCTACAGTCGCAGAGCGTGGCGAATTTCTTGTCGCAACCGCGGTTTTTGTACACTGCTCTCTCTCTCTCTCTCTCTCGCTCTTCTTCTCTATGCGCACACACACAGACACACACACGTGCCATTATGCGTTGCCAGCCACAGCATGACCGGATATGACCGTTTGTCCACATGGCATCGGTTGGTTGTAGAGGCCGTGCAAGATTTAGTGCACGCAGCATACTTCTGCAGTGATTCTATGCTTGAGTGAAGAACATGCTCTTGATTCACTGTGTTGGTCCAAGCTGCGCGGTTATGTCAGGTGTCTGAAAGTCTTATAGAGGAGGCGACGTTGAGTCCTCCCTGCACTTTGTGTTCGTGTTGTGCCATTTCTGGCCAGGCTTGCCGCTATGCCAAACCATGCGTTGGCAGTTGTGGTTGACACGCACGGGGTTCTTGAATCGAGCCGATTATTAATACACGGAGGCCCGGCTTTCAATTTCCATCCTGGCAGATCGAAGTGCATCCTGTGTGCACGTGTGTGTATGTCCGTTTTCAGCAGGGCTCTTCTGCAGCTGTTCTCAAGGTCGGGCCAAGTTGGGCGAGATGCACCCACGTACACTTGCAACGATGAGCAATTTGGGGAATTTGCTGCAGGCGCTGATGGGAGCATCGGATAGCATTGAGCTTTGACGTACGAATCCGGCCCTGACAGCAAAGCCAGCCGTCTTTATGCATATGAACATGTCTCTTCAGGATATATGCCGCTGTTATGGGACTCTGTGCACCTATCGGTAGGCTATTGTCCCGTTGAAGACGCATGCGGAAAACTCAGATTTAGAGGCCCGACTGGCTAGGCTTGCATGATCTACTTTGTTCAGAGCAGCTCGAGCACATCTCCGTGTAGGACCCAGCTTCCACTGTAGACAGCAGGCACAGGGACGCGATGAGGAGGCGGAGCAGCTGCTCCGCAAGGCATTGGAGGGTCGCCTCAGTCTCAGCTGGCTTTGAACAAAGACACAGGCACTTGTGGTATCTAATTCGGCTTCGAATGAGATATCAGGTCTCAGGGTGGGGACATCGTGTGCGTTATGTTTCGAAGCGAAGAACTGCTATCCCTAGGTCGGGCAAGGCTGAACGAGACGCATCCAGACACGCTGCAGTCAATGCACGATCTGGCCAAGGTGCTGCAGGCCGTAAATGAGCGATGTTCTGGCGGTTTGCGTCTCTGGGGATGTTTAGGGTTTGGGGAATCAGCCCGACCAGATGAAAGCCATCACACCGCTTTCTTCGAGTAGCACGCATTTTGACCCCATTGGAGGAGGCGGAGAAGCTCCACGGCTAAATGTTGGAGTCCAGCCCTTTCCTGAGACTATTCATTCGCACATGGGGTCGCCCGGTGCAGGCTGAGTGGGTTAAAGACAGCTTAGGCGAATGCATTCCCTTTCAGTCGTGGTTCTGACCGAAACATGTCCGCAGGCAGGAAGAGAACCCTTTCTCGTTTTGCCGTCGCAGATTGTCTCAAGTCGTTCGCAGAAAGATGTGTATTATTTCGTAGATTCGCAAAGCGCCTTGGTTTGATGCAGCAGCATGAGTTGAAGGACGGGCCAGTCCGGGAGAGCATACATCAGCCGATTTGCAACGCGAGCAAGGTCGACTCTGGGGTTGAGCGGGGCACTGCTTCGTGGTTTGGCAGTAGGACCGCTGTGTATTCGGTCTGCGCTCTATGGCCAGCCGAGCTACTAACTCTGACCTCTAAGTCCTAGATCTGTATGAGCTGCGGGCGACTTGAGATCTTGAAATTTGGATGCAATGGGATGCAGATACAACAAGCTGTTCCGGTCAGAAACAGCCATTTACCAAGCAAGAGCCACCTTCTCTTTCCTGCAAATGGAGGAAACGGAGGCAAGGAACGAGGGGACGGAAGGAAGGAAGGATCCGGGCAACCGCCATCGCCTGCCGAGGGGAGAGACCGGGGGGTGGGCGGGGTTGAGAAATCTGATGAACCGCAAACGTCGAAATTGACGGGCCGGCTTAAGACCATAGAATTCGAGCCGCTCGTTTTAACAGTAATCAGCGAGCTTTCATCGCGACATTTGCGACTTGCTGCTTTAGTTGCATTGGCATAGGCTGGTCTGCTCATTCCAGGTCCTTGGACACCGTGAGGTGTTTCCTTCGTCCATACTTGACATGTGCGAGCCTTACACTCGAAGATGGCGCTGGCAGCGCCACAGGTTTGTCATTCCCCTGGCGCTGGGGCTTTCAGTGAGTACCGTGAGTCAGCTGCAGGTCTCATCAACAATCACGACGAGCCGTCTGTGGAAACCCTTTCTCGTAACTAGTAGCGCATGCGACTCAGCTTCCCATCACGATTTTGAAGGCGGGTCCCCGGCCACAGCCTGGGTGGCTGGTGCAAAGCCCGACATCTCTGGCAGCTGCAGAACCGTATACTTGCAACGGAATGACCATGAATACTTCATGCAGCCAGACAGACAAAGCTTCTCCGACTGGGATATTATGACGTTAGATGATATGTTTCGAAGCGAAGAACTGCTCGAGCAATCCCTAGGTCGGGCAACCCAGGGCGAGACGCATCCAGACACGCTGCAGTCGACGCACGGTCTGGCAAAGGTGCTGCAGGCCGTAAATGAGGGAAGGGGCGGATGACCGGTTCTTGCTGTTTAGTGTTCAGTGATGTTTAAGGTTTAGTGCAACAGCCGGACGAGACGAACGCCATTGCAGAGCTCTTTTTAAGTTCTATCCATCTAAATCCCAGCCTGTGAACCACACAGGAAAGAGGACACTTGGACCAGGCGGAGAAGCTCTACCGCCAAGAGTTGGAGGCCAGCCGTCTACTGAGACTAGTGGTGCTTTTGGGGCGTCTTGGAATGTCTTGGACGAAGGCCGAGTGGGGTTCAGGCAGGTTCCGGCTATCGCGCGCCTTTCCAGTCGTGGTTCTGACTCAGTTCTGACCGACATCAACCACAGCCAGGAAGGGCATGCCCATTATCGGATCCTTATCGTTTTTCTTTAGCATGTTTGCCCACTTCGTTCGCAGGAGATATGTATTTCATAGAGTTGGGACGGCCTCCTCGTTAGGAGCAGCATGCCAGGACGGGCCAGTCCGGGAGATGCGTCGGCTGGAACCGGCAGACTACACGAAGTGGGCAGAGTCGACTCTGGGGGGTAACCGGGGGGCAATGCTTCACCGGGGGTTGTCCTTGGGACCGCTGGTACTGATTCCAATCCATGCAGCTTTCATGGCTGGCTTCAAGGGCAAGCCGAGCCAGTATACCACTATCAGTCACTATCACGCAGCTACGGTAACCTGAGATCCTGAGTGGCTCACAGTGATTACAGTGGACACCTGCATGTAGAAGCTTCGAGCCCCTTCCCCACCGACTGTTCCAGAAACCGAAGAGGGTCGCGAAACCGGAACTAAGCTTGGATATTAGGGTGCAGGGTTCGCCAATACGCGGGCTTGAACCCCAACGTCCAGGCTCCGCTCTGGGCATAAGCGAGCGCAGGCTGTTCTTACACTCAGGCCAGACAAGCTTGATCGAGATTGGGAATAAAGAACTAGAGGTTGTCCTCTTTGCTTGGAGCTAGAGAACCAAGTCCCTCCGGACGTCTTTTAGAGATACTTCAGACTAGCAGGACTTGTGAAGACTGCCGGCTGCATCGCTGTAGCACTCAGATCGGGTTCCCGGAAAGGTTCGTCTTAGATGCCTTGGCCCTGACCTTCAGATGTTTCACAATCCCCACTCAGTCGGCTTCAGAACTATCAGTTTTCGTTGTCCATTGAAGGCCACGGAGCAGCCGAGACAGCTCAAGTTGCGAGCAGGCACGTGGATCAAGCTCTGCTTTCTCGCTGATTTTGGCGTCAGCCGCACAGTCAGCAAAGCCTCGCAGCAAAAAGTGTGCGAGGCCAGGGTTCAAATTTGGCATAGCGTAGCTGCCTTCTTTGCACTCTTCCTGTCGGGGCATAACCCTGAACTAACACCTGTAGTTCTTTTGCTGGAAATTTTTAGCGCTGAGGATGTGTTCAGGCAAAGGCTGCACGTGCCATGAGCTTCAGATGCATCGAAAGGCATCAGAAGGCGCGAAGACGGGTGGAAGATGGTGGAAGTAAGCTTCAAGGAAACGTGATACACTGAAGCACTGACGGTTTCCGCTGTCCGAGAACGTAAAATGGGACGCTGTGCAGCCGAGACCGCTCAAGTTGCGAGCATATCCACAGCCGACACATAGACTTCTACGTTAACGATCCGGGCCCGAGCCCAACATAGTCCCGGTGCTAAATCGGTGTCGGCCTTCCGCCTACGATGCTCTCTGCCCGGCCAAGCCGGGCCTTGAGAGGCCCGGGGCCTTGGCAAAGAGATGCAATGTTGCTTCAGAAGCCTGAAGCCCGAGCTTAGGTGAGCATCTGCATGTTTATTTTGGCCTTCTGGCCTCGTCGTTCTGCATGCTTGAGTGGAAGCCGCTGAGCCGTCTGTCAGCTTTTATTATGATTCAGGTGACTTATAATAAAATCTGTCCGGGGGCACATGGTCACTGTGTCTCTGAGTGTGTGTGTGTGTGTGAGTGTGAGTGAGCGACCCTGTGCTTAATTGCATCCCGGGTTGGGTTGGCAGGGGGGCTTTCGGCTTCAAGATTGGCGGGACAACTGCTTTATTCAGAGAAGCTCGAGAGACAAGAGGGCGCATTCGATTGTTGCTAGATTTCAAGGGATAGTCTTTTCGGAAGGCTGTGACGCTGCAGGGATGTATAATTTCTGGGTGTTTCGGACCAGGGCACTGGGAGGATGGGTGGAAGGTTCCATCTAAGCTTTAAAGACGAGGGCAGACGGCGAAAAAAGGGGGTGGCTTCCTTTGTGCTCAGGTGCCTGGACCTGGTCATGGGTGCCGGTGTCGGATCCCCAGCCGTCCCGTAGCAGTAGCAGCCAGTGTGGATTTCGTTTTGGACAAGCACGAAGCGGATCTAAATTCAGCGGCAAGAACCAGAAGTTGCACAGAGGTATTTTTGAGTGGTACCTCCAGGCCGAAACCGGAGTTGGTTGCTGCAGATGTCGCATGCTATGCGGGACGGGCAGCATGGCGACTTCAACACAAGAGAAAGCACGTAATTACGTGTGCTTTGGTCGAGAGATAATAAGAATGCAGGAATTGACTTCCCTTGGAACTTGCCCTCCGAGGCCAGTGCCGGGGCATCGAGTGAGGCACGGCGTTTTTTTGGACTTTTTTGGATCTTTGGGGATTTCGGTCTCCGCGTGTTGGCTCTGAGAAGACTGCCAATTTCTGTTGTCGCATCGGGGAGAGAGGCAGAATTGGGGCCTTGCCGTGTTTGTTGCTGTGCTTTTCGGCTGGCTGTTTGACATTGCTTCTTGTTCGGCCAGCCCCCCCAACGAGCCTCACGGAAGTTGTGATGATGTTAGCCGGGTCGTGAAATCAAATCTGGAATGCTTCATTCATATGGGTGGTTGTCAAAATTAAGGTCCCCTCTTTGTGTACCCTAAATAATAGGTGCCGTATCACAATAATAAGAACCCAAAAAGGTTTGACAACTACCCATATCTTAAGGTTGTTGGGCGCGAAGACTAAGACGGACAGCCGCGCGAGTCTGCTCTCCGAGCGAGTCGGGGGAGTTGCTGAATCTTTGTGTGCTTGGAGGTCTCGAACTTCAGACAGGTTTTCTCCCCTACTTGGAAATATTTTAATTTTTGGATATTATAATCCCTAAGAAACAGCTAAAATCATAATTTTTGCTAGAGTTCAGTATAGTTCTGTTTGGGTGTGAAGACAGGCACCTGCACATTGCAGAAGGTCCAGACTGCGATCGCCATTGCACAGACATAGACTCATAGACATAGATATAGGCACCATAGATTCCGGTACAGTGACCGGAGCTTCCAAAACGAGGGCTTACTGCCCTGCTCCGCAATGCCAAGCAATCGACTTGTCGGGTTCAGCGGTTGTGTCGTTGGCTTTGCGCTCTTCGCCAGGTGGGACCACGAGCATGCCACACACACCCCACAAGCTTCAAGAAAGAAAGAACCCTCAAAGGGCCACTGGCTCTAGGCCTCTCATCTAAGCATGAAGCTGTCGACTGCCCCTCCGACCCTGGGTTCGCTCTGAAGCTCCAACAAGAACACCGGCTGTCGCCGAAAAGCCCAAAGAGCGCACGGGGCCAGGCCGACCCGGCCGTGGCCGAGGCACCGTCCGGAAGGGCTTCGATTCGTAGAGGGTGCGGGCCCGGAACTTCCGAAATCTTTTGAGGCTTCTTTGCCGACCGCTTGCGAGCATTACAAGCTCATGAACGTGGGAGGATTAAATAGCACGCAGAACGAAGCTGTATGCTTGTGTCCCATTGATGAAAATATTCTTTTGAAGGGGTAAGATCCGGAGATTTCCTGCATGGGGTCCTGAACTTCGAGCCGCTCTGAGGGGTTCTCGGGCTTCTAGGATCTTCTATAGCAGAAGCCAGAAAGTTGGAGCATCATTATCCTCATGCCCTTGGAACATCATTATCCTCATGCCGTTAAGGTAAGGTATAAGGGATCCTAGCACGAATCCTCCTAAAGCCATGTTCCAACTTTCTGGCTTCTACCCTAGGCGGAGTGGGCAGGCTACTGCACAACATGTGGGAACTTTTTTCCAGAATTTCGTTCGCGAAAGCAGGGCAGCCGAACAGGGTCGAGTTTCCGGAGGCATCGTTAGGTTTTAGGGTTTATAGGGTTTAGGGTTGAGGGTAAAAAAAGTGGTTTTCGTCGTTAGCCTGGTCTGCTCAGTGCAGGCCCTTGGCCGCGGCGAGCTTTCAAAGTATTTCCGTGGCCCGTACTTGACAGGTGCGAGCCTTATGGTAAGGGGGGTGAATTCTAAAAGAATGCTTGAAGTGCCACAGTGTGCGCCTTCTGCTGTTTTGGGGTCTTGGAGCGCCTGAAGGTTTCAGCAACCATGGCAGCTGTCCGCAGCGAGAACTTGACCGTGCCTGAAAACTACCAAGGCGAAGTCTACAAAAAGGCTCGCTCTACTCGACCGGTAACCTGGGCGAGCTGTTGACATTCGACTACGCTGCGCCGGATGGCCTGGTGCGTGTGTGGCAACACGCTGTAATATTGTGCGAGCCTGAGGACCAAGAACGCCCGGATCAGCAGGACCCGTGCGTCCTCTACCACTACACTCAGGAGCTGGCCTTCCGCAATGTGGCCAACATGGAGAAGACCACTGCCGAGCTCTTTGCGTCTCTGGTAGACTCCAGGGCCCACTTCGGGAAGGGCGTCTACTGCACTCAGCATGAACCATCTGCGCTTTGGCAAAACACTGGTCAGTGCGCCACATTGCTTAACTTGCTCGGGCCGTTTGGACAGCATGCCCTGCTTTCCTCGACTCGACAACCCCCAACTCGACAACTCACCAAATACAGACCTGAAACCTGAAACCTGGTGAATTGGGGAGTTGAAGGGAGTTGAATATGGGGGTTGGGGACTTCGGAAGTTGGGAGTTGGAAAAGCAAAACCCAAACCCGAAACCCAAAACTCGCTCCTGCATCGCCCATTGCAGCTGTCGGCTGTATTGCACTCATGTGCTGTAGGCAAGCATAGACACAAGTTGGCGTGGAATCGCCTGCAGCAAGGTATGGGGTTCGCGCACTCGTGTTTTGCTGAACAACTACAGCAATTTGAGCCCTTTGCGCCGCGGCCCCGATCATCGATGCAATTTGCTGGGGGCCTGCTTGTTTTTTGGCCACCGCTGCAGCATCTGCGGCTGAGGTGACATAACAGACGCGGAGTCTCAGCGAGTGGAGAAGGAATGGGGCGCAGGCAATGCTGGAGGCCATCGCGCAGCCTTCTGTATTCCAATTCTGGTTCCGAGGGAGCTCGCCTACAACATCTTTCAAAGACAAACGCAGCGAGGCATGCAGTCAGGCCTTCTTGCCGTGATGTTTCTGGTAGAAAGCAGCCTCTGCAAGCTGTTCTGCAGAGGCACCTGCATTGACTTACTCACTTTCGTCCAGGTGGTAACGGGCTGAAGAATCTATAGAGTCTGGCCTCATAAGGGCCACTCCTGGCACTACAGTGGTCACTACAATAGTCACTAGCTATTATACTATAATTTAGTATACTCTAATATACTGTAATATACTATAATATACTGTAACCTCAATTTTAAGCCTGAGGCCTGACCTCGCCCAGAAGATGGTGCTTGATGCAGAAGCGGGCAAGGAGCGCCGGATCAATCTGGGCGAGGATTATCGTGGCCGCAAGGTCGATCCGACGCGCGACGTCTGGATTCTGCAGGTGACGGACGATGCTGGCAGGGTGAAGGACGCTGGCGCCGAGGCAGACGTTTTGCTGAGACTGCTCCGGCTTCGCTTGGCCAACCTCCGACGAGAGCTCGGCGACGATGCAGAGCCCACCTTGGGCTGCATGTACGAGCTCGGGAGAAGGCTTAAGGACCGTGCCATGTACGAAGAGGCGGAACAGCTGTACAAGGAGTGTCTGCGAGGCCGCCGCAGCCTCAGCCCCGTAACTTCCATTCAGAGCCACAGGCCCGAAGATGCCCCAAGAGGCATTACTGGCAGCAGCTTCCGGCTGCTTCGTTCCTTCGGGGGGCCGGCTGCTTCGTTCCTTCGGGGGGGCCTGAAACAGCCAGGAACTCTGTCCACAAGATGAGCAAGGTGTGAAACCTATGATAATCACCTCATGTAGGTATAGTGAATCGGCGGAAGAGGCCAAAAGCTGTAGGATTCGTCGAAGATTTGGAGGTGAATTTGGTGGGAGGTCCAGCAAATTGTGGGATACAAAGGTGATGCCAGTGAAGTTCGGTGAAACTTGTGAGGACCATCGTGATGAACTGCTGACACTACTGTCACTACTGGGAGGTTAGGAAGCGCGTCACAACACATCATGGGGGATCCAGCTGTCTTGTCATATAGATAACTAATAGGTTACTCGTCCGGACGAGTTCCCTGCGGTGCGACATGTTCAGTTGGGCGGGTGGCAAAATAGGTTACTCGGTTGTCTAGTAACTTGTGATCTATGACATAGACAGAAAAATGCCTATTTGACCATCGGAAGCCATAGGAAGAGGGGGCATCGGGTCAGGCGGTGGTCTGCCTTTCTTAATGTCAACTTGCTTATTCGCTTTTCGTGCCATGTAAACAACTCACAATGGCCCGTGGTTTCTTCGCTTATTCCCCCAGGCAGCTCCCCCCATGGTTTGACCTTGAGCATCTCTCCTCCGATGGCTTCGTAGTGGTTCGAAGCGTGTCGAAACACGAGGGTTCACCCGATTGTTCTGCTTGAGCTTTCATATCTTACAGCCTCGATGAGCTCCGATGATCGAGCCACAAACGCGAGTCGTGCGACGGAGATAACCATGCTGAAGTCGAGATGGGCTGTTTTAGGTTTCTGGGGGTGTGCAAGCCAATGACCTGCCCACGGTGCCTTGTTCATTCACAGCATTCGCCGGCTTACGTGTGTCGAGGACGGTCTTTCGTGGATGTAGTTTGGCTTCGTGTGAAGGACTGGAGTATACTAGGTAGGTTCCCTTGATGTCAGACTCGTCAGACGCTCAACTGTCGGCGACTCCCTGTTGGGCTACCTGCTTTAACGCGATCCACACTGCATGACACAGATAAGACCCCGAGGCAGGGCCAAACTTGGTGAAGAGCATTCGGGCACGCTGAGTGCGATGAACAACTTGGCTGGTCTGCTGCAGGCCTCCAGGGTACGCGAGCTTGAGACCGAAGGGTGCTGCAATAATGGGTGAAGCCTTAAGAAGAGCGGTGCACCAACATGAAGCTCAACATTCAGAATTCAGCTTGGCCAGGCATGAGGGTTCAGCTCCTTTCTTCTGACCATACCGCGGCCCTCACAACTGGTGCCAAGCGGCAGGCTCGGGGCCGCTATGAGGAAGCCGAGCCGCTTTACAGGCAGGGACTGGAGATTTGCCGCAGCCTTAAGGGAGCCGGTGCATGAGATCTTCGAGTCATGAGCTCCTTTACCTGTGCAGTCAAGGTAGTCTGAAGTTGACTTGTGCGACTTAGGCTTTCAATGTTGTGGTTGAAGATTTTTTTGCAGGGGCAGCGGTTAACATACACTAATTAGGCGACGTAGTCGAGCACATGCTCGATACATTGCTCACAGTTTCGGGAGCAGCTCTGCTTGTCGTTGGTGTAAAAAGAGCATACCATGTTCCCCGAGTGTAACACTCCCCGTTCGGTGACGGATGCAATCTGATTTTGTAGCCTGAACAAGCACATCTCCGCGATTCCTTGGGCTTCCACGGCCAACTCGTTTCTCAAATGGTCAAGCTAAAACGAGTTCTGAAGACTTCGCTTAAGGCTGGGTGTGCTGCTTGAAGTATGTGAGGTGGGTTTGACACCGCGGGATCTTCGAGCTGAAGTCATTGAAATGTCGAGCCTCTAGTGTGAAAAGCTACGGATCGAGATCGACCAGTTTTGAAGGCTTCTTGATGCTTTGAGGCGCTGCAGTGCTTTCGACACGAGATGATTCCCCGAGGCAAAGCAAAACTTGGTGAAGAACATGCGGACACACTGACTGCGAGTTCGATGAACAACTTGGCCGTGCTGCTGGAGGCCTCGAAGGGCCTTTCCCGAGCTTGAGACCGAAGGGTGCTGCAAATAATGGGTGAAGCCTTGAGAAGAGCGGCGGACCAACATGAAGCTCAACAGGTAGCCTGGCCGGGCAGGAGGTCTGACCATACCCCGGCCCTCACAACTGGTAAGCGGCAGGCTCGGGGCCGCTATGAGGAAGCCGAGCCGCTTTACAAGCAAGGACTAGAGATTCGCCACAGCCTTAAGGGAGCTGATGCGTGAGATCTTCGAGTCATGAGCTCCTTTACTTGTGCAGTGAAGATAGTCTGAAGTTGGGTTGGGTGACTTTGGCGGTCAGGGTTGTGGTTGACGATTTTGCGCCACGGCACTGGCTGGTATGCTAAAAGCGACATAGGCACATGCCTGACATAGTCACGGTTTCCCAAAGAGATTTTTTGGGATGATGTAGGTGAAGGAGTCTGCAGGATTGCAATTCGTGGAATCCAGGGCATATCGTGTGAATAGCCACGGGGCGAGATCCACAAGGTTTGAAGGCTTCATGATGCTTTGAAGCGACGCAGCCCCGAGGCAGGGCCAAACTTGGTGAAGAGCATCCGGACACGCTGAGTTCGATGAACAACTTAGCTGCGCTGCTGGAGGCCTCGGGGGGCCCTTCCCCCCGAAGGATGCAGTGATGGGTGAAGTCTTGAGAATAGCGGTGCACCAAAATGAAGCTCAACATTTAGCCTGGCCTGGCTGGAAGTGTCAGCTCCTTTCTGACCATACCCCGGCCCTTACAGTTGGTACCAAGCGGCAGGCTCGGGGCCGCTATGAGGAAGCCGAGCCGCTGTACCGGCAGGGACTGAAGGTGAGCCGCATCCTCGGGGCTGCGGCGTGAGAAATTCGAATCATGAGCTCCATTACCTGTGCTGTGAAGGTTGTCTGAAATTGGCTTGAGTGACTTGGGCTTTCAGAGTTGTGGTTGAAGATTTTGCACCACGGCACTGGCTGACAGAAGCCAGAAGCGTTTGTGGGCAGGCAAATTTTCGACAACATGCTGACATTCCCGGAAGAGCTTCATTCTTGGTTGATGTAGGCCAAGCAGTAGACTGGATTGCCTGAGTGGCACACCCTCCCACTTGACGGAAGCACGACCCCCGCATATCTGCGACAACCCGGATTCCGCTGGCCTCCTGACTTCTCGGACTAAAGCCAGTTATGGAGCCTGCCCTTAAGGCTGGGTGAACAGCTTGAAGTACGTGAGGTGAGGTTTTAGGCCGCCGGATCCTGGAAACAAATCGGAGGAATTTTGAGCGTCGTGTGAATACAGCTTCGGAGCGAGATCACAAGGCTTGAAGTTTTCATGATGCTTTGAAGCGATGCAGCGCGCATGACACGAGTTATGACCCCGAGGCAGGGCCAAACTTGGTGAAGAGCATCCGCAAACGCTGAATTCGATGAATAGCTTGGTTTCGCTGCTGGAGGCCTCGAGGGGGGCCTTTCCCGGGCTTCAGACCGAAGGATGCAATGCTGGGTGAAGTCTTGAGAAAGGCTTTGCACCAAAAGATGAAGCCCAACATTCAGCTTGGCTTGGCAGGAGGTGTCAGTTCCTTTCTGACCATACCGCGGCCCTCACAATCGGAATCAAGTGGCAGGCTCGTAGCCGCCATGAGGAAGCCGAGCCGCTTTGCAGGCAGGGACTGGAGATTCGCCACGGCCTTACTGTAAGGGAGCCGGTGGCGTGAGATCTTCGCGTCATGAGCTCCATTCCCTGTGCTGTGAAGGTAGTCCTTGAAGTTGGCTTGGGTGACTTAGGTTTTCACGGTTGTGGTTCAGGATTTTGCGCCACGGCACCGGCTGACATACTGGGCCATAATACAGGCACGTGTCTGGCATTGACATAGTCGCAGTTTGCGAAAGAGTGTTTCTGCGAATATGTAGGTCCGTAGGCGAAGGACAATACTGGATTGCCCACGTGACGTGCTATGCCAAGTGGTCGGTGACGGATGCAATCTGAACGTGCAGCCAGCAAGAACGCCACATGTCTGCGACTCCTCCAAGCACACTCAGTTGAAGTAAGGTCTTAAGGTGCCGGATCCTGGAGCCTAATGTACTGGAATCCAGACCGTGTGGTGTGAATAGCTACGGGACCAGCCCGACAAGGTTTGAAGGCTTTGTGATGCAGTCCGCATGACCCGAGATTAGACCCCGAGGCAGGGCCAAACTTGGTGAAGATCATCCGGACACGCTGAGTTCGATGAACAACTTGGCTTCGCTGCTGCAGGCCTCGGGGGGCCCTTCCCCCGAAGGATGCAGTAGTGGGTGAAGTGTCGAGAATAGCGGTGCACCAAAATGAAGCTCGACATTTAGCCGCCTGGCTTGGCGGGAAGTGTCAGCTCCTTTCTGACCATACCCCGGCCCTTACAGTTGGTACCAAGCGGCAGGCTCGGGGCCGCTATGAGGAAGCCGAGCCGCTGTACCGGCAGGGACTGAAGGTGAGCCGCGTCCTCGGGGCTGCGGCGTGAGAACTTCGAGTCATGAGCTTCATTACCTGTGCTGTAAAGATTGTCTGAAATTGGATTGAGTGACTTGGGCTTTCAGGGTGACTTGGGCTTTCAGGGTTGTGGTTGAAGGTTTTGCACTGGCTGATATAAACTAATCGAAATTGGCACCTGTCTGACATAGTCACAGTTTCCGAAAAAGACTTTTGGGATGATGTAGCTGACTCTACACTGGATTGCCCGAGTGGCGCACTCTGCCAATCGGTGACGGATGCAATGTGAACGTGTAGCCAAAGCAAGAACGCCACATGTCTGCGACTCCTCCAACTCTCCTGCTGACTTTTAGTGGCTAAAACGAGTTTTGGAGACTGCCTTTCAGGCTGAGTGTGCAGCGTGAAGTACACGAAGTAGGGTCTTAAGGCGCCGGATCCTGGAGCCTAATTCAATGGAATCCAGAGAATGTCGTGTTAATAGCTGCTGAGCGAGAGCGGCAGGGTTTTGAAGGCTTTGTGATGCAGTGCGCATGACACGAGATAAGACCCCGAGGCAGGGCCAAACTTGGTGAAGAGCATCCGCAAACGCTGATTTCGGTGAACAACTTGGCTTCGCTGCTGGAGGCCTCGGGGGGCCCTTCCCCCGAAGGATGCAGTAGTGGGTGAAGTGTCGAGAATAGCGGTGCACCAAAATGAAGCTCGACATTTAGCCGCCTGGCTTGGCGGGAAGTGTCAGCTCCTTTCTGACCATACCCCGGCCCTTACAGTTGGTACCAAGCGGCAGGCTCGGGGCCGCTATGAGGAAGCCGAGCCGCTGTACCGGCAGGGACTGAAGGTGAGCCGCATCCTCGGGGCTGCGGCGTGAGAAATTCGAATCATGAGCTCCATTACCTGTGCTGTGAAGGTTGTCTGAAATTGGCTTGAGTGACTTGGGCTTTCAGAGTTGTGGTTGAAGATTTTGCACCACGGCACTGGCTGACAGAAGCCAGAAGCGTTTGTGGGCAGGCAAATTTTCGACAACATGCTGACATTCCCGGAAGAGCTTCATTCTTGGTTGATGTATGCAAAGGAGTAGACTGGATTGCCTGAGTGGCACACTCTCCCACTTGTTGTTGACGGAAGCACGTCCCCATCATATCTGCGACAACCCGGATTCCGCCGGCCTCCTGACTTCTCGGGCTAATGCGAGTTATCGAGCCTGCCCTTAAGGCTGGGTGAACAGCTTGAAAAACATGAGGTGAGGTTTTAAGCCGCCGGATCCTGGAAAAACAAATCGGCGGAATTGTGAGCGTCGTGTGAATGTAGCCTCGGAGCGAGATCGACAAGGCTTGAAGTTTTCATGATGCTTTGAAGCGATGCAGCACGCACGACACGAGTTAAGACCCCGAGGCAGGGCCAGACTTGGTGAAGAGCATCCGGACACGCTGAGTTCGATGAACGGCTTGGCTTCGCTGCTGGAGGCCTCGAGGGGGGCCTTTCCCGGGCTTCAGACTGAAGGGTGCAATGCTGGGTGAAGCCTTGAGAAAAGCTTTGCACCAAAAATGAAGCCCATCATTCTGAGCTTCGTTCAGGAGCTGATTGTACTGTCGGATCTGACGGCACCCCCGTTTTGCACAGCTGGCACCAAGCTGAGGCTCAAGGGCGCCATGACGAAGCCGAGCCGTTGCATCGACAAGCACTGGCGGGTCGCCGCCGCCTCAGTCGGCGTCGTCAGAGTAGGGTCTGGTCTTGGAGATCGGCTTCCTGAGACGCGCGGCGAGGACGGAACTTCATGGGCTTGCGAATAGAAGTTGGGTTGAGTTGGATTGGGGGCTGTTGCAGGAGTTGTGCTAGAGGAACTTGGTTTCGGTTGGGCCATACTGCAAGCGCAGGAGGTTCCGGCATTTCGGCTTTCCTGATATGGCACACCATGCGGACGGTCGCGTGTTGAGCTTAGGTTATTTTGTTTGAGAAGCACTTGGCACTGCAAATGCTTGCATTTGTTGCGCCTTGTTCAGCCGGCGATGGAAGCAGCATGATGCGACCCTGCGCCAAGTCCAAGAGAGTTGATTCTGTTGTTTGGATCGTTGTGTCGAAGCATGCCATTCCTTTCAGTTTTAGCAGCTGTGGGGACGGACGCAATGATTCGATTGCTTGAAATATTCGGTCTTCAGGTGCAACTCGGAAAATGGTTGGAGCACTAGACCAGGACTTCGTGGAGACCTGTAATTTGGTCTCAACCCCCGCCCCCCCCCCCTTCCCCCGAACAGCCCTTGAGCAATCCTGGATTCCGGAATAGTTGTTTGGGGGGGCGGGGGGGCGGGGCGGGGTGTAAGTTGTTGGAAGGCCAAAAGTACGGTAGTACGGTAGCAGTGCAAGAGCAGGACAGCACAGCAGTATTAGAGTCGTTTTACAGTAGCATTACGGAAATAGTACCGTCGTAGTACAGCAGTAGCACAGGGCTTCGAATACAGACAGGGATTCTGGTTTGTTGTTCTGGAAGCTCCCGGTAGGCAGACCGCACTATTGAGGTACTTTCTTTAGAGGCTATCATATACTACCCCTCTCATCCCCTCTCTAAATCCTAAGCCTGAAGTCTGGCTGGCTGGCTATCTCTCCTCTCTCTGTCTCCTCCATCTTGCCTGTCTTTGTGTCTGCTCTTAGTGCGTCAGTTTTTTGTAGCAGTGTCCACTTCCCAAAAGGAAACCGAATTTATACAAGCGGTACAGGAACTGAGGATTGTTGTGGGGTAGTTTACTATTGTGTGCAGGCCTCAGTTGGGCCAATTGAGGAGACCTTTCCAGTCACGAGCTCACCATACACAAACGCCCCGTTCAATCCCTCTGATAGCGCGGGCCGAGGCCGGGCGCATCTTGGCGGCTCCCACCCGAAGACGATGAGCAGCATGTACAGCTTGGCCGACTTGCTGAAGACGATGGGCAAATTTGAGGAGGCCGAGCAGCTCTTCCGCGAAGAGCTCAAGCTGTGCGGCCCGGCCTGGACTGGGCGACGAATTCGTGTCAGAGTTCGGCTTCGGGTCTTGGGATCTTCGAGACATTTCGTGCCAAGCCGTTGCCCGCGCATGAGCTCTCCTTTGTCTGCCCTTCGAAGCCTTTTCAGGTCGGTCTGTCCACGGCTCCCAACACGAGGACACCATTAGCTCCATGCAGAACTTGGCCACGTTCCTGAAGGACCCGTCTGCGATGCTCGAGATGGGCGGAGGTGTTCTCACGTGGCCAATGTCATCATGCCAGTCGCAGAGCCAACATGTATCCTGGAAGAAAGTTGGGACCCAAATTAAGCATTCTCTAGGCTTCTGTTGGGCTGTGACCTTCCTCCTAGAGGTTCCGGGTGTTGCCAAACATATATTCTGTCTTCGAATCCTCGGACACCGGAAAAAGCATTGAACTGGCTTGTGCCCAGCATGAGGAAATGACTGCAAATGCTGCGTGCTACCGTGCACACATTGAAACGTGTCCAGCTAGGCTCCATCTGGGCTCCCTACTTCAGGCACGTGCACAGCACACTTAAACGCATGGGTCATAGAAGCCCTCACTCGGCCACTACTACCCTGAGAATTAGATCTTTGCCAGACTGAAGATGTCGAACTGCTCGAGCCTGGGCCAAGCAGAAGACAAGTCCAAAACAATAAGACGTGTTATTATCTTCGCCTCTGCTGCTGCCAGCTGCCTCTTTGCTATTGGTGGCTTTTTGAGCTTGTGTTTGGCACATGCCAAGTGCAACCTGGCTTTGCAAGCCAGAACCTAGCCTCAGAGTTAGAAGGCCCCGCACGGCTGTGCTAGGATGACATACATCGGTTCGTTGGACCAGATGGAGAAATGTGTTTGATGCGCAGGAGCGAGGTCGCATGGATGAGGCAGAGGCTCTCTATCGCCAAGTCTTGGAAGTCAGACGTGGCCTCAGCCCGGGTCAAGCAGAGCATGACACGCAAAGGAAGCGGCTCTCCCGGTATTTCATTCAGTGCTCCCAAGCTCCGTACTCCTGTTGAAGTGCCGCCTCTTTCCGGGGCATGCATGATGGCGTGCCGGTTCCGAGGGCGGGACCTCGGAGACCTTGCGGATCTGCTCAATTTCTTCATGGATACTGGGCGGCTTGAGGAGGCAGTGCAGATCCTCCGAGAGGTGGTCGAGAAGTGCAGCTCGGCTTTCGTTAGCATGTGTTCGTGATGGTAGGACTGTGGGATTGATCATCGATCGAATCGAGCAGTTTCTATGCACGGCGCTTGCGGTTTCAGAACATGTAGGGCGAGTTACCCTCCGCTTTTGGGCCATTGACGTGCTCGGAGGTCGGTCGGAACTGGGAGCCCGGCATGAAGAAACCATCAGCTTCACGCAGCTCTTGGCCGGGATGCTCCAGGAGCCTTGAGAGTTCGAAGGGTTAGTTTTACTGAACTGAACTGATGATACTGATGGTGTTCTCCTTGCTTAAAGCGCTTCGTTCCACTTTCGTTTCAGACGCATGAAGTGTGCCTGAACCGCTCGGAATTGAACCTCTTGACTCCTGAAGCCTCCCACCCAGCGCGATCCTCTGGAGTGGATGGCAGTGTTCGCCATTCTCACGGGTGCTACGCTGTTTTTGTCGTCGTAGATGTGCGTGCTCTGCTTGATACTGATACCGACTGCTAGTACGTGCAGACGCATGTTGTGGCGTGTCGTGTGGGACCCATGGCTTGTTCTTGTATGTTCTTGTATGTTATCGCTTCCTCTTGCTCTAGACTCTACAGTAGGTTAGGTCTTGTTTCTTACCCCCCATGTCCATGTGCGCTTGTGCATCTTTACCTGATGCATCCTGATGCTCATGAGGCCGCGTCTGAAGCCCCCGGCTAAACCTCCCCAAAGGTGCTGGGCCAAGAAAGGTAAGCGCCGTAGTTCCTCGTCAGGCTCCCAGCTGCTTCTTGGGGCTGTCTCGGGTGGGTGTATTCCACCATTCAGGCTTCAAAGAAGGCGGAGGCTACCCAAAGACGTCATGTAGAATCGGGGGAGGGGAGAGTTCCCGGAATGGCCTTTGCTGGTGCGTTCCTGAACCTCCTGAAGCCCGAAGCCCCTTCGATCCTGTTGTGTCCGATAGTCCCAGGGAGCACCTCAAGCATGGATATGCAGCAGAGCAGCAGCACATGCCGGGTTCATGAAAAGTTGAGGTCCTCGTGGCCGAGCTTGTGATGGGCCTTTCTGAGCTTATCGGCTTGAAGTGCTGCGCACTGGAGTGTAAATTCATAGCATATCATATATATATATATATGTATACATCATGTATCTGTACATAGAGAGAGAGAGAGAGAGAGAGAGAGAGAGAGAGCCGTCTCAACATTCATTATTAAATATGTGCCACAGAACCGGATGATCCTTTTAATGAGGCCCGTTTTACCGGGTGACGAATCCGCTGCATCCTCCAGGAAACCTCCCAAACGGGCTGGGAACTGTGAGTGTTATGTGAAGTGCTACGGAGGAAGGACTCCAACTCACGACCAGGGCAACTGGGACTTGGGGCGCATGCAGGGCTCGAGTAGGGCATGGTCACCTAGGTAGGGCTTTGGGACATTTTATATTTGCTCTTATTGGGCTTAAGAGGATCTTACCTACTAATATTTTCCAAAGGCTTTGAAAGCACCTCCTAGTCACCTGGTCACTTCGATTCTTCCTAGGTCCCCTGGGGGCGGGGTGTTGCAACCAGCTAGCTTGGTCAGATTCTAAAAGGCGTATCCCTTGGTTCATGAAGGTACCTCAGCGGCCAGCGTCATTGCAATGTAAGGTGATGCTCAAACCCGGATCAAATGAAACATGCACATACGAGGACCCTGAAATTCTACCATGCCTCCTTCTAAGCTCCGGACAATGGATTTGTGCTTGAAGAGACGATGTGTTTCACATGCACATGGGGAGGTGAGTGGTTGGAAGGATCCAAGTTCAACGCCTGCAAGGTCGTGGAAGGCACCACATTTCTAAGTTCTGAACAGTTTTCAACGTCGTAAACACTGCCGAGGAGGCTTCGGTACCGGCTGGAACGTCAATCTCTTTGCAGCAGAAGCCTTCGCCTTGATTTCAACACAGGCTATCTCGAGGCGGTAGGAGTTGCGAGCTACATCAACCTAAACAACGTTCCCGAATCGCTATGAGGACCCGGGGACAAGTGTCAGTTCTTCGCGACCTCGACACAGGTAGAAAGGGCAATCTTGACTGTGTGCACCAGCTGGCCTCCCATGCAGTAAGTCGGTGGGTAGTTGTGAGGCGCATACCTGTTGAAAATACCTGGCGTTTACCCGCAATCTTTGACAACCCATGGTGTTTTTTTGAGGCGCAGGCTGCTCAGATCTGAGATGTCCAGTGCCATGTCATGCTGCATCGCAGCGCAGCCGAGACAACTCAAATCAACTCAAGCTTTGAGCAGAGTACTTTGACGCCAGGGTCTGACTCCAAAACTTTCCAGCATGCTAACTGATGAACTTGCATTATCCCCCTTTGGTGTTCTGGGTTGTTTTTCTAGAGCCTGAGCTCAGTAAGAAAACCGGTTCAGGTTGCGCGGGTGTTGCAGACGTTGGCCTCAGACAGAAAAGCCGTTCGCAGACCATAGGTGGATTCACATCATGTCACCTCGGTGCCGCCTGCTGCTGCTACGGCTATGGCTCCGGCTATGGCTCCGGCTACTGCTGCTGTTACGGCTACGGCTGCTGCTGCTGCTGCTGCTGCTGCTGCTGCTGCTGCTGCTGCTGCTGCGGCTGCGGCTACGGCTACGGCTACGGCTACGGCTACGGCTACGGCTACGGCTATGGCTACTGCTGCTACTGCTGCTAGTGCTACTGCTACGGCTACTGCTATGGCTACGTGCTGCGGCTACGGCTACTGCCACTGCTACTGCTGCTGTTGCTGCTCTGCTACGGCTATGGCTGCGGGCACTGCTACTGCTACCGCTTTCCTATGGCCGTTTCTAGGCTCCTGACATCAGCTGTCCGGCACCGCGGTGACACGGTGGCTGTTCCAGGGCTTAATTCTACGTTAAGGTTCCAGTGGCCTTCAGGAAAGGCGACCCCTAGAAATTAAGCCCAGTCTGTGTTCACGTTGGGGCTCTTTTTTCTGGGTCCAAGGTCGAGGCCTACACCCAGGCGGGGTTCTTACATTGACTTACATGCAACTACTGTGCAGTTGGCATCGGTTGTTGATGACTCCCGGCAGCCGCGAGACTTTCCTGGCCTCAAGAGGCCCGGGGCTCGAAGGAAAGCTGCGATGTTCAGAAGCCCAAAGTTCAAGCAATCTGTAAGCATACATGGGAGTTTCCGAAAATGGGGGGACCCTAATATAGCACCTTAAATAGTACCTTATCCTTATTATAAGGATCCCCAAATCAGGTATCCTAATTTCCGGAAACTCCCAAACGTTCATCCTGGGAGGCCCGGGGTTCAGCTCCCTTGCGGACTATTTATTGCATGCATCCCGAAGCCCTTAAACCCCCTCAACAGAGCACTAGACCCCTAAAGCCCTGAACCCTGAAAGCCCTTCCCTAAACCCTAACCTTCAGGACAGACGGAAAAGAGGCTTCAAAAAAAAGAAAGCCTTTAAACACCTCACCAGAGCCCTAGACCCGTTTTTTGCACTTGTTCCCCGGTTGAACATGGGAATTTCTGGCCTGGGCGGTGACAGGAGGGCAGAGCTTTTTGAGGCTCAGATCTGGACTTGGGGTGTTTCAGGATTTCAGGAGTTCCTTTAAGACCAAAGCCTTTATCAAGCCTCACTAACGGGGGTTGCAGAGTGGAACGTCGGGGGGGGGGGGTGATAAAACTTGGGTGCATCAAGGAAAAGCCTTCTCACCCGGATTTCCAAGCGAGTTTGATACCGACGTTATTTTTTTAAAACAGCCGTACAGGTGCTGAAGTCGAAAGATCGTCGGGGTAAGTCCCATTGGTTTTACTCTCCGAGGCCGGCATGGAGGGAGTTGAAGCTTTCCGCGGTGTATACTTGAGTCTGCCTACCATGTATATATTATCGCAGTTGACCAGGGTAATCGGCCGTTGGTCGAGGTGGAATTACCAGACTCGTGACATTGTGGAACCGCAGCTGTTTCCTGTGCTTCTCGGCTGGCTGTTGCCGTCTATGCTTGTTTTGGCTACATCGCGGGAAGGCTACTTTTCCAGCATTGTTATGCAGATTCTTCATTGGTTCCGCAGGCCAACCCCCCCCAAACCCAAAGAGGATCGAACCGGGAACGCTTCGCACGTAACTCAAGCTTGTTCTGTGACACGCTACCTGTTCTTACCATTGTTCCTTGGTCGGTTCTTATTCAGCCACATAATAACGGCCTCCAAACCCTGCACCAGGCCTTGCACCTGCTTGACACTGTGAATCCGCGGCCTTGGGCTGACTTCCGTGCAGCCAGCCGCGCTTAGGCGCAAAAGAGGTTGCAAGAGGTATCAATACTCGTTGCTGCTTCGTGTTGCAGGCATACCGAGCTGGCACGCTCGTCGAAGCAATCCTTATACATTAGGGAGATTTCTTTGGCATTGGCAACAGCGCAGCTGACCGATTTCCGGCCGCTGCCCCGTTCTGCTCAAAAAGTCGCCAGAGCAACGGCTCGCTCGGGGGTGCAGAGAACGATTGGCGGTCCGCTTCTGAGAACATGGGCTATCAGAGGCTTTATCAATTTGGGGTTAGGTTTAGGGGTTTATAGGCTTTAGGGTTTCAGTTGAGGGTAAGATGTCGGATAGATTCAAGACTCTCACGACCGCGCTCCGCCTCGGAGCTGCAGACATAAACCTTTAGGATGCCTCATCTGGCAAGTTCGAAGGCAAGCTAACCCCTGCCCCTGAGTTGTTGACATGCCAAGCCCCGTATAGTGCCAGCAGAAGGCCATCAACTTCGAAGAAGAAGGCGATAAGGCCGCAAAGCCTGCATTGTCGGTCGGGTCTCGGTAGGCGCCGCCAAAGCCTCAAGCCTGAAACGCCCGGAGGTTAGAGGGGCTTAATCACCTGGATCCGGTCCAAATACTGGGTTTGGCAAGTGGAGTCCTCCTTACCCAGCTGAACCATAGATTTTTTCTCATGGTATTTCTTCATTTTTCAGTGAAACCCAGAAAGTTCGAGCATTGATTTAGGACGATTCATGCTGGGATTCCCTATACTTCACTTCAAGGGCATGAGGCTCATGATGTTCCAACTTTCTGGCTTCTACTGTATATGTTCCATATGTTTGTTTTCGTCAAGTGTTCCTTGAACTGGATGTTTCATAGGGATCCTTAGGGGTGTAGGGGGAGGTAAGGACTAATAAGGCCTATTTAAGGAAATATAGTCCCCTACACCCCTCCCCCCTACACCCCTAAAGATCCCTATGGATTTTTGCATGTCCGCCGAGGGGCCATGAAGTCTCCCTCGGCCGCTGGCGCGAAGTTGCGGCCTGAGGGCAGCTTCTGTGATCTTTGGATCCGAGGACGACTTTTCTATGAACTGGCAGTACTGCTTGTGCCGCCTATTTGGGGTTGGTACAGTATATATATATATATATATATATATATATATATCTATGTATATATATATATATATATATATATATGTGTGTGTGTGTGTGATGGTGATGGTGACGATGACGGATGATTGTGATTAAGCTTGTTGTTATCATCATCACTGTTTGGGTGTCTTTCTTGTGGCAAATTGGGGGTCTTCGCCGAGCTTTACCGCACTACCGCCAGATCCGAAGCAAGAACCCTGCCAAAGGAGATCCATCAGGTTTTCGCGGTTTAAGGTTTTGTGGCCGGCTCAAGGTTTCGGCTTCAAGTTCAGTTGAAGGTGTGGTGCAATGGCTCTGGTCGAGGTTCAGCCTCCAGGAGAGGTGCAGAAGCCCCTCTCTTTCCAAATGCAAGCGTGAGAAATCGTTGACTCTTCATCGTCGGCTAGCTGCGCCTGCGGAAGTGGTGCCAAGCTGGGTCGAAGACTTGAAGCCAGCTATCGCTGGCGGCTAAGAATCCTATATAGGAGGCAGCAACAATCTCACCACCGTCAGGGACCAGCTCATGTCAGAAATAAAAGCAGGAAGGTTGATATTGTGGATGTTCATAAAGGGCTCGACGAGCTTGGACAGCGGCTGGAGCCTGTCGTCAAAAGTTGGATCGCAGGGCAGTGCCATTCATGCAGTCCCCCGCCTGAAGCTTGGTCCGACTGCGCTCGGGCTCGTGCAGCACCGGTGCAGGGCTGCACATGCTGGTGCTTCCATGTCTGTTTCCCTGGACACAAACATCAACTTGTTGGTTGTCAGGGGTTGGCAGTTTGACACTCCTCGATGCGATATAGAACGTGCTCTGGCAAAAGGTCTCATTCGATCCTGACTCTTGAGTTGCCTGTGGCAGTGCAATGTAGAGCATTTGAGCTTTTGGGAGGCTTCCCTGTATCTGAAACTGCCTTGTACTTCTTTCGAAGACTAAGCACCGTGCGGGAGGCAGGAAATCGTCAAAGCCCCCAACCTACGCTCCCGCCTGCCTCGTGAGAGTGTCAGAGAACAAGCCCTGAAACCCTTATCCGGTGATACCAACTGGAACGTGCTGGTTAATTAACGACATCTGACTAGTATCGCTGCAGACCTTGCCAGGCTTTGTCCGAGTGTGAGTGTCCAAAAAATTCCCCAAACCACGCTGGGCGGGTGGGAAAAACACCTGGTAGTAGAGAATAGGTAACCTTTACCCTTTTTTCGGTAGTAGAGTCCCTATATAATCCCTATATAACCAAAAAGGTCAACCGTTAGTTCCCCATGATACCCGACAAGTAGGAACACCATTCCTTTCCGCGTGTGTCTCCGAGGGAGGAGACGAAACCACAGGATGGTGAGTGGACGAGTCAGGCTCGACCCTTCTGCTTACCTTTGGTTAGTAGAGAATGGAAGAATGGTAGCAATAGTAGTTATAATTGTACCCCATTCCTCCATTCCCTACTAACCCAAGGTAAGTCTGAGGTTTAGTCACGCTTGTTGCGACGATTACAGTTGGGTTCTAGTACTTGCTTAGGGACCCTGTCAGGGCTGTGAGCTGTTAGGTGTGATTTTGCAACTATGATACCGGTACTTCTGTAGTTTCGACGGGCAATGCACACAACCACTCAGCATAGTACCGCAGCATGGTGCAAGCAGAGTCCCGCGTAAATTGCGCAGTGTTCGCTCTCTTACAGGAAAGCTAGCTGCACGTCTGAACTCCGAAATTTCAAGCACGCTCTTCCCAGACACAAGTTCTCACGTATGTTACCACCAATGTTAACATGATCTTCGATACCATTGTCAGCATCATCGTCGTGATCAGTATCGGGGCTAGGCACAGGGGCTTGGCCAAGTTCAGCAACAAGGCTTGAATAGGCTAATCTGATCTGTTGCTTGCAACGTTGGATTCGTGTGGCTTTGCACGCTCTCCGGGCCTTCGTTTGGGTTCGCAATAATCGCAGCTTGAGAAATGGGTAGACTGCATGAGCTACCTGTTGTGACGAAGTTATGAAGTTATTCTGTCATTTAGTTGCGGTCTGATTGCGGCTCTTCGCGGTATGTAGGTCTTTCGGGTGTACGCTGCTGTTTCGTTTGGTTGTTCAGGAGGCGCCATTGTCCAGTGCTAGACAATCACCGTGCTCGGGCCAGGAGGTGGAACATATCATCAAGAAGGCGAACGAGCTAAGTGCCGGTACAGCACTCAAGACGCCGTGGATTGTGACCACATCACAGATGTGCCTGCCATGGTCATCATTTCAGAGCATGTGGTAGAGAGGCACATAAACTAGGTGGACATTGAACTTACGAGCCTCAGTCAGAGGCAGGGGGTATAAGCCTGAGGATCCAGGGCTACTCGGCTTGACACTGTTTCGGAGCGCTTGTCTGCACGAACCTGCGAGACTTCCTGATTTGAGCATGCGAGGGGGCTCTGAAGCTTCTGGCAACTGTGGGGCCATAACTTAACCGTCAGCATGAGACTAAAGCCGGCTGATATGATCCAGATTTTCATATGCTCCAGCGCGCGTCCTACAGATGCCTGTAACCAGCAATGAGAGGTGCCGAAGCTTTTCTCAGCCGGCATCGTCACAAATTTGGAAAAGTCACCATTCCGATGTCGTCGTTAAGTCTGCCTAAAGTTTCCAACCCTACACATTCTCACATGCAGATGGCTTTGCACACGATGCCGCGCCTGCGTTTGCTGCCAGAACTTTGCAGCCACAGCTGGATGTTTGGAAGCCTCCGCTTTTGGCCTCGAGGCAGCGCTAGGTTCGCCACCGCGGCTCAAGTGGGTGTTGCGCTCGGCCAGACGCTTGGGAACCAAGCCCTGCCCAAGCTGCCTGTGAAGACGTTGGGGCGGCTGCTCGCACAGCCCGGGGCTCTGAACAGCCAGGACTTTGAAGAAGCAGTCGTGGTGGCCATGACGAAGGTACAGGACATGGATGGAAAGGACTGTATCAGAGTGCTAGGGGCGCTGATGCACCTGAACACTGCATCCCGTCCAGATGCAGCTGCTTTGCAAGCACTTGGTGCACGATTGTCTGCCGGCTTAGCCGACATCTCCAACAACGACATGGCCGGCTTGGCGGAGAACCTGGCCGAGGTCTCAGTTCCCGTGGCCCCGGTCTTCGCGCGCCTCTCCGCTGCCTTCAGCCTCCGGGTCTCCGGTGCCTCGGCTCCACAGCTGACGAAGGTGGCCTCGGCTTTTGCACGTGCCCGGCTGGCAGACCGGCGCCTTTTCCCAAGGATGGCACAGGCATCACTGAAGCAGCTCCACATCTTTTCGCCACAGGACCTTTCTGCTTTCGTCTCCTCTTTTGCAGCCGCTGCTTTGTCATAGTTGGGTAACATTTTGCACTTTTTATGGGCACTTAAACCCAATGAGGAATAAAAATGTACAGTTTGAATCCTATCCCAACCATGAACTAGGTTGGCCTCTGTCACGAGCCATTGCTGGCGGCTTCGGCCAAGGTCTTCGTGTCCATGGGCCCGCGGCTCTCCGCGCTGGACCTGGCCTTGGTGGCCTTCTCTTATGGCCAGTTTCTCGGTTCCTGCTAGAAAGGATATTTACTTGCAGCTACCATGATAAGGAAACCACATATTCAACCATGTACCATAGATCCCTATTCTGCACCAAGTTGCTTGCTATAGATCCCTATTTTGTTTGAGCCTGTTTGCTATAGATCTCTATTCTGAACCCAGGTTCTTCCTGATCTTCCCGAACGTCACTGCCATGCTCCAGGCGCGGCTGCCTCGCTGCGCCTGGGCCCTCTTCGTTTTGGAGCCGAGCGAAAATGAACTTTACCATAGCAGGGAGGAGGTGTGTAGAAAGAGCCCACTTTATTTCTTTTCTTGAAGGTATATAAACTTTACCATAACAGGGAGATATATGTAAAAGAGCACGGCTTCCGTGTCGTTACGGAACTCGCCTTAGGGTCCTTCTTCAGAAGAGCCCAGGTGCAGAGGAGCTTCCGTTTGACAGGCTGGCCGAGCTCACCGTGTCCTGCGCACGGCTGGGCCTGAAGGCGCCCGAGCTCTTGGCCGTGCTGGCACGGAACCTCCAGCTTGGCGACTTGAGTAACGAGCTCTTTGGCCAGGTGTCGAAGTCCGTGGCCTTGTTGGGCTTGGCTTCATCTCCTCGGGTGAAGTCCCAGATGGCTTCAGAGTGTCAGCTGAGGCTACAGGGATTGCAGGAGATGCAGCCGCAAGGTGCGTGGTGGCTTCTCGACCTACTCGAGTCCCTTGGCTTGGCTGCTGAAGATTCCCGACTTCAAAGGGGAGGTGCAGTTTTCGAGTTCTGGAGGGGCAGCTTGGAAGCCTTGTTTCCAGCCTTGCAGAGTCTGCTGCCCGTGCTGAGCCCTGTGGAGACTGCCACGGCCTACCGCGCTTTGCGACAGTTGCCACCCTCCCTGGTAAGGCCCAGGCTCGAGAGCCCATGCTGGCAGGTGCATGAGCAGCTGGCTCTTCGGTGCCTGGGCCTTGCCACTGCAGAGGCCTTTGACTTCCAACTTCAAACCTCGACTTTGTACTCCCAGATCTGCCTCTATCCAGAGCTCTGGTCACAAGAGAAGAGGGCCTCAGATTCCCTCAAAAACCCCAGCTGGGCACCCTTCCGCTCCTCCTTCGAGGCCCTGTCCGCCTCTTGGAGGCAGATGCCGCGCCCTGCGGACCTGCAGCCCGAGACGCTTCACCAAATCTCGGCCCTGGAGCTCCTCTTCGGAAGCCCGGGCCTCGGCCCTTTCACCGTGGAGGAGGGAAGGGCCTTAGGACATCGAAATCGTCCCGTGGCCCTGGAGCTCCAGGAGCACCTCCTTGCCCTGCACCCCGGCTCGGAGGTGCAGGGCCCTCTTTGGGAAGGGCCTTTCGAGATTCATGCTACGCTGGGAGATACGGCTTTCTGCCTTATGCCGGAGGATGCCTACTTCAAGACCACCAGCCCAGGGCCCTATGCTGAGGAGGATTCAGATGCCGAGCAGGGAGTGGAACTTTGCCATGAGAAGGTCGCGCAAGTGCATTTGCTCAGGTTCGCGGGGGGGGGGGGGGGGGGGGGGGGGACTCCTGCAAAAGCCTAAGAAGAATGCCTGTGGCGGGAATAACTGCTGACTCCTCGAATGCCGTAGCGCCGTAGCACATCAGAGATACTGTAGGGCGGTATCCTAGGAAGTACAAGGTCTCTCTAAGTACCACAGAACTCGAACTTTTGCCTCGTCAGCCGTGAGATAATCGGAGGGCGCGCGGGTGGCGTGTATGGCCTTTCGCATTCCACACCTGGCGGCGTGCCGGGCACGTGCAGAGGCTTCCGGGTTCCCGAATTGTAACTTAATTAGGTCTGGGAGTTGGAATATTTGTAGGGACGAGTACGCAGAAGAAGAAGACATAGCTGGTCTCAAGGGATTGTGGGTTGCATGTCTTGGTTTTTCTTGTAGGGGCAGTCCAGAGAATTCCGTGCTTGCACACCTGGGAATCCAATGCCTGACATCTTGTAGAGTAAGCTGGCTCCAGAGTTAGATATTTTGGATGGTTGTGGGAGATGCAGGATGCAGCACCATGTGCGACATGCAAAAGCAGCACCCCGCATCCTAAGTTCACGAAGATCTCGGAGGATTCAGGATTCGGAACCCTGACAAAACCCCAGATACCTGAAACCCACAACTGCAAGCCCAAAACGATTTCCACAAGCCTCAAAAGAATGCCTGCCGTACATACCCACTGCAAGAGCTCGTCTTGAACGAACCCAAAGCTGGATGCAAAAAGAGAGCCGCTCGATCAGAAACCCCGAATAGATGAAAGTGCAAACGGCCCCGAATTCTGAGTCGAGGAGAGACTTAGTAATGTAGGGGCCTTAATAATTGGGTATATTATACTAACTAGAGTATAATGAGGAACCCCCAAAATAGTATAGGTAGTTCTATATATAAAATCATAATAATAAGGAACCCTGAGTCGAGGAGGGACTTGGTGCAGAGCCTGCTGGGTGCCGACGGAGCCGATGCAGCAGGGGCCGAGGGAAAAAAAACGACAGCCCAATGCGAAGTCGTGCAGCTTTCCAGGTTTGAGTCTGGGGCTTGACTTTTCGAATGGGAGAGAGAGAGAGAGAGAGAGAGAGAGAGAGAGAGAGAGAGAGAGAGAGAGAGTCTGGCTCCTGCCTCAAACCCCGAGCAAAGCAAAGCAAAGAGAGAGTCTGGGGCTTGGGTTTAGGGTTGAGGGCTCAGGGTCGGATTAGGTTTCCTGTGGATTCTGCAGCCGGAGGTTTTCCATGACATACTTGTGTTTAAAAGTTCTATACCTCCTCATGAGACCCCCACTGTGAAGTTTACAGTGGTTTGAGCTGGAGCCCATGGAGTGGAGTTTGGTGGCTTCGGGCTGAAACACATGCTCTATTTGGACATGAGATGGGAGTGAATGGGGTATGTTTTCAGCGTCTGGCGCTGTTTGACGCATACTCTGGAGTTCACACTTTGAGTTCCCATCTGCAAACCTCGGCTGCACTAAAACTTCCTACAGGTCTATACAGCCCTGAACCTGAATGTCCCTTTACAAGCCAAGACCCTTCAACCCCCAGCTCTCTCAGGCCAGGAGAAAAGGTCGGAGCAGCGCGAGCGAGCGCTGGAGAATCTGGTAAGAGCCCAGGACACCCCGAATTCTCGTGGGAATTCGGCATCCTTGAAGGTCGAATAATGGGTGTACGGTTGAGGGACTATTGTGACGATTCGGGAGTCAGGTATTATTGCATTATTCTTGTTTTTTTTCATGAAGGTTTGTACAAACAATTGGTTTCTCTAAGTGACTTGTGATTGTTCTGCCAAAAGTGACTTGGTGTTGCGAGCTTGGGGAGCTGAGGGGCTTAACATTGGATCCGGCAACCCCAAACCCTAAACCCCTAAACCCCTAAACCCTAAACCCCTAAACCCGAAACCCTAAACCCCTAAACCCGAAACCCTAAACCCCTAAACCCCAAACCCTAAACCCCTAAACCCTAAACCCTAAACCCTAATAACGTGAGGTTTGCTGTGCAGTATTGTTTGGTGCCATGGCCAGTCCGTGCTAGTAGATTAAGATATGGGAGTTTCCGAACATTAGGGGTGCCTTATTTTGGGGTCCATAGAATAAGGATCCGGTACTATATTATCGTCCCCTATTTTCGGAAACTCCCATATATTAAGATGAGCCTCGATTGACCGTGAGACGAGTGAGAATTGTAGAACTTGAAGCGGTGGAACGATCTCCTCCAGTCGAGTGGTCTTCTTGCTGCTGCCAGTTGTCCTCAAAGCGCATGAAACTATGATCCCGTTTTGGGGAGCTTCTACACTCCACTGGGCTTTTTGAGTACCATGCTTTGATGCTTTTCTTTCTTAAAGGAGCCATTATGAAGTAAAAGTTTATACTTCTTTCTCCCTGGTCACTTAAAACAAAACCCAGTCCAGAATCCGGCTCGGAGGAGCTCTTTGAGGCCAAGGACAAAGAGTTTACGGAATGCCAGGCGCGCTACAACCAGGCCCGGCCCCACGATTTTCCCGGCTTTTGGGGGTTTAAAGCTTGGGGTCCGGGGCTACGCGGTTTAGGCTTGAGGTTTCAACTGTGGGCTGATCTTCGTCATTACCGGCTTCGTTGTGCGCCTTGACATGTAAGTCACAGGGTCAAGATGGCCCAAGCCGAAAAGCTGCAAGACCCCAGGGTACGACTTCGGCCATTTAACTGATTTGTAAGCTGAAAGAACACAAAGGTGGCCAAAGTGCTGAGCGAAAAGCGGGCGAAGCGCGACCATCTGAAGGATCAGGCACGGGCAGCTGCCTCCAAGGGTTGTTCAACTGTTTTAAATTTAAAACATAGTTTTAAATTTTAGTTTTTTAGATTTAAAACAATTCACCTCGATGCCAGTGCGTGAAGAAGATGTAGTCTTGGTTTTTGGCACTCTTGGCACAGAGTGGAGCGAAATCTCAAAAAGGCCAGCCGCTAATTGAATGCGTGCCTTGAGGTCGATGAGTCCATGCCTCAGTTTTGCTGAAGGATGTTAGTCGGCATGAGAACAGTAGCGATGAGTGTAGGGAACAATAAGGAACTCTAACAGCCATACTGTAGCGCCAACAGACATAAGAGGTATCATGGCCAATGCTAGCTATCACCGGCGCGACTAGCACTGTACGTACTCGGAGAAAGATGAGTTCAGGTTTGCACCAGATCCTTGTAGAGGTTCACTTAGGAGTTTCGGATACTTTCGGCCTGTGGGAGCTTCGGATTAAAGGGCCATTTGGGTGGTTGTCAAAATTATGGCCCCTTTTTGGGTCCTCAATATAATACGGCACCTATTATTTAGGGTACCCCAAAAGGTTGACAACCACCCATTTTGAAGTTCGGGGTTAGCTTAGTTAGGAATGTTACTGGGACAGGTCTGCTCGTATCTGCTGCGACTTTTAGGGTTTCGGGTCTGACTCCGGACCCGTCCGCGTGTGAGCTCCGAAACTCCGGCCCCGTAAGCTTACCTTTGGTTAGTAGGGAATGGAAGAATGGTAGCAACAGTAGTTATAATTGTACCCCATTCCTCCATTCCCTACTAACCAAAAGTAAGTAAGGTGCAACCGAATGATGGCCGGATTGGTGAAAACCACTCTGGATCACTCCAGCCGCCGCCTCGGAGGTTGCCGTGACATTTGAAGAGGTTCCTCCATCTGAACCCTTGAACCCGTGTAATTCATGGGGGGGGTTTTGGGGGAGGGGGGTTTGACCTAGCAGTCATAGGCAGCAGTAATACACACCTGCGAAACATGGTGCACCGTGCACCCTCTCGATTGCTGAGGAAAGAATCACGCCTTCGGCAAGGAGAGCAGCTAATGTACAAGCCCAAAGTGCAGAAAGGGCACGGACTTTAGGGATCAGGCTGGTGAGGTTTCGGCAATGGATTAAGGCGCAGACTTCGACCTTTGCTCTTGACATTGAAGTTCAGCAGTCTTAGGGCCTGGACCGTGGGTTGCATGCCGAGAGTTTCAACAACCGAACCTTGGAGGAACAGGCCTCAGGATGTAAAGGTTTCTGGTCCCTTCGGCCCTACGCAGCCTTAACCCCAAAGAACCGATCCCAAACCCTACACCCCAAGCTAAACCCCCGCGCCGATCAATGACAGAGGAGCTTAGCGCATCCCTAAACTCGGGTGAGAGGGCCGCCATGCCGGAGTCTCAAAGTAGGGTTTAGGGTTTAGTTAAGGGTTTAGGGTTTAGGGTTTGTTTCTTTTGAACACCAGCATTCCGTGAGACAATTCCCTTCTCTACTTGTGCGGATTCTTACGAAAGCTGTCTTAGAGGGCAGTTGTTGCAGGTTCAGTGTGCAGGAAGGGCATGACTGCCAGCTCGTCGTCTGGCTAGCCTTGAGTTGAGTCCAGTAGCAAAAAGGAACAGCATGGAGCTCGTAAGGTGCTTTTGAATCTATGGTTTTAGAGCTTCAAGTTCAAGTTCCACAGCTTCCGGTTCAAGATGTTTTGAGCGCGTGTGCGGTGGCAGGTGTCGAAGGGAACTTGCGCTGTCTGGGCCCATAGGTCATAAGTTAATCAGCTGCAATATGGCTTGTTATGCCAAGTTGTATTGTATAGCCGGTTTTCCTACTGAAGGATCCAAGGACAGTAAAAGATCACTCTCTGGAACCATTTTCTCTTTTGAGGGTCTGAAGCCCTTCGGCCTCAGCGAAATGTCCGCAAGCCCTCGCCCCCGAACTCCCGAACCCAACATATGTATATATATATATGTATATATATACAGTATATATATATATATATATATAATATAACTTTAATAACAATGATAGCAGTAGTAATAATAGTAACAACAAAAATAATAATGAAGCAGAGGTTGAATGTATGCCGCGGTTTCGTTAGGTTCGAGCTCCCATCACAAGAGAGGCACACCTGTAAGAGCAGGTACGACTGACACATCTGAACATGTACCGACGGTTGACAGGAGGATTAGTGCGACGAACCTCAACTAGCTATTGCAGAGACCCTGCTTCACGTCCCTTACCCTTCTTTCGGTAGTAGAGCGGAGGGCCCTTGTCGGCATGCTAGATTCGGACTGGTGGGAACTCTTCCATTTTCGCAGCTCCGGATCGTGTTTCTCTCTGACTCTGTTAGCTTTTCAATTTCGAATCCAGTCGCGTCGAACTTACGAAACAAGATCCTGATTTAGCTGAGCCCAGTGCATTGTGGAGCCTAAGCACTGGGGTTCGACATCCATGCGCAGCTTGCAACATTGCTGGGTGCACCACTGCCTAATCCTACTGTCCTACTCCTAGTCCCAGCTTCGTCGATCTCTCTGCTGAGGCGGGGCTTCTCCTGCCACA